TCTCAAAACATTGTTACCGTATTTCGTTACAGAACGCGCCAAGTTGAACTCAAAGTTTTTTGTTATCGGAATGATATCTGTTCAATGTGAAAGGGTCTCAAAACGTTTGTTACCATATCTTGTTGCGGAACGCGCCAAGTTGAACTCAGACCTTCTTGTTATCGGTATGATCACCAGATCAGTGCGAAGTGTCTCAAAACGTTGTTACCGTATATTTTTACAGAACGCGACAAGTTGAACTTCAAAGTTTTTGTTGCTGGTCTGATAGACGAGATCATCGTGCGGGGTCTCAAACATCATTATTACCTTATACCGTTACAAAACGAGCTAATGAAATTTGAATTCGATATTTTGTGTTCAAATTTGAGAGCACGATTCGTGGAACATTACGTCCAAGATCAAATCCTAATCGCGTTTTTATTGGTAGTTATGTTTTTATTGGTAGTTTTATAGTCTATGAAATTCGAATCAAGTAATGATCGATTCAATCATTATACTCCGTATAACTGCTACTTACAGTCAAGCAACCAGCTGTCAGTACTTTATGCTAATTTTATTTGCTTTGACTACGATCTGATCATCCATATTTTTCACTGAATAAGGGAATTCAGCAATATATTACTTGATACGAACCGATATAGGGCAATTTCTCAATAAATTCGAGTACAATTTCGATCATGCAAATTTCGTTTAAAAGCCTGGTAAGTGCAGTGGTAGTGGAGCATATTTTTTTCAATATATCACAGACGTTTGCATTGGTCAGTTCTTTTGTCAACTGTTAAATATTACATGACCAACAGTTACTCCTTAATCAAATAAATCCTATCATGTAATGAGTATTTTTTGACATTGCTACATGAAATTGTGACTATAATTAGTCACTACACATTCATGGAATTACTGAACCATCTCTATCATATTCTTCATGTATACTTTTTATGTAATTACACTTTTTAATCATGCCCCGATTGTACTGATAGCCACACAATTTCTTCACAATGTTGTTTGATTTTGAGATTAAAAGTTAGCCATCAGCCCATGTTTTTGAGCGAATTAGTGATCAAAAATTTGAGCGGTAGTTACATTTCAAAGATTATTCTCTGCTTTGAGTAGTCAATAAAATTTGCATCGTAAAGTAATCGGCGAGGTAAACTATTTTTACAAATAAATTTTTTAGTATATCAGATTTATTACTATGCAAACTTTGAAAGTAAATGCATCTGCGACCATGCCAATTTCAACACTGTCATTCTCACATCACTATCGTGTTTATACTACGGTTGATATGCTGCCTAGAACCAAACATAAAACGGCTGCTCTTTACGCAAGAATGATTTAATTTCATTAATGCATAATGAGGACAATATATTTTACTCACATCTCTAGATTTAGAGTTGGAAAAGCTTTAGGTAATAGTTCTAAATCTTTATGTTTATTTCAATGGATTAATATTAAATTTCTCCATATGTAGTGTGATTTGTGGTCCACATTCCTCCTCAAAATGAGCATCCAAACTCAGAGCTTTCGATCTAGAAATTTTATCGCATCTAAATTAAATTTAATCTTAGTATTGTTGCTTCACACACACACGGCTTTTATTGAATTCAAACTCTACAAATGGTTGAAAAGCAGGATACTTTCTGAAAGCAGGATATTGAGGTAGGTGTATTTCTGCCTGAAGCTTATGCAACATTTTGTGTTGCTTCAGATGATTTCTGATAAACCCAAAATAGTAAATGTTGTTGATTTAACAAAACTTGACGCTTATCACAGTAGGGCGTATAAGAACGCATAGGTATTCAATGATATAAGAAAGATTGTAAAAGCAAAAGCTTCCACTGGCTGGTTGCTTGGTTTTAAGATAATGTTATACATTATAGTGAGTAGTTACTAAGAAATTATTATCATACAAATAATGTCTGTAGATTATTTGGCACCTGTACAGAATCCTGCATGAAACTTGAAAAGATGAGATTTTGGAGACCGCGGTTGCAACAATGTCACTGCACGTTGTCATATTCATTTTATCTGGAAATGAACTGCCACTACTAAGATGACTTTTAATTATTGCTCTCTCTATAAACTTTCGTGTTTGCTATGGCTATGATAATAACAAATTTTTTGACAGTTTTCAGTGCTACAGTAATTACGCTTGCCAAAACGCGAATAGATATTAATTTAAGGCATTTGTTTGTGTAAGGATACCGACCACGTGATAGCCATGCTAGCTTTTTTCAAACTTCATAATGCACAACAGCCGCCATTTTGAAAAAAAATGCGGTAAAATTCAAATTTAAATTAAATTGAAACCTAGACCACCACCAACGTTTTCCTTATGCAAGAGTCATTTTTTCTGACTGAAGGTCATAGTATCTCCAACCATCCGTGACGTTTTCAGACCACCAGGACGTTTTATGCGCACTTTGCTCGGTGACGACCACCCAAGAATTTTTCATGCTTTTTTCTCATGCAATCCAACTGGGACATTTTTCTTTTTTTATATTTAGACCACCACTGACGTTTTTCTCAAAGTCGCTTTCTGATCACGATTAGTTTCCAGCCCGTAATTTTTAGACCAGCAACGAGGCCTCACAACGGTTTGGCACGTCGCCATGTCAGGAAAACGACCACCTACAACGATTGTGATAAACTCTGAAAATGCTTTTTCTGGTGCCATGTGTTGTCATCAGTGTTTATTTGCAATAAATTGAGTATGCCACCCAAGAAGAAACAGCCACCTACAAAGAAATAATTCAAACAGCATTCGAGCCACATCTATCTAATTGCATCAACGATGCTTACATTTCTGAAATGCTTTTTTAAAATGCATGATGTCACTCTATTAATTTTACAATCATTGATGTGTGCGTTCGTTAACGAGCTTGGCTTCGACCTTGGTGGTCTGCCATACTTTCTCAGTTACTTCACATATGTGATTTCAATATGGATGATCGTTTCATCGTGGGTGGTCTGTTCACTCGTTTGCCGTCCAAAGGCAGGGAAGGCATTGTGCTAAAAATCTTATTGCAGCACAATGCCTTCCTTTTCCTTTCGAAAAAAAAAAATTACTATTGTGGGTGGTCTCAGAAATTGATATCCAGTAGCTGATATATCCCTGCATACACTGTTGAAGGATCAGAATAATTCGTCGTTGGTGGTCCATCAAATTCAGTTATATTCAAATTTTCGTTGGCAATCAGTCACATAGTTTTTTAAGGGATTACCTCAGACATTAAATAAATTGTATCAGATATTTGTATCAATGATGTGATTTTATATGCTGACACTAATTTTTCCTGACCATCAAGTCACCGGATTTTCGACCTTTCGAATTGTAAGAAAATATCAATGTACTCGAGCACTAATACCATCACTAATTAGTCACGACAAAGAGAATTAATAGCAGCGTCTCACTTTTTTGCGCTGAGATATTTTCGCTATAAATATAACAAAGTTTTTTTAGACTATTATAGTTTAGATTCTTACATAAGTAAATTCTGACATGTTGTTACGTTTATTTTTTCTGATGGTAACTGAGGAATCAGAGCTCGTACATTTAATCAATAATGGTACTGGCTACATATATTGAGGGGTATTTAAATGCATCTTAACGAAAGATGAATTATGCTTAAACCCAAAAAATGAATATAGTAACTTTTCACACAAAAATAACCGAGTCACATTAACAAAAGCTCAGCTACCACAAACTTTCTCCTATTGTCACTCTACCTCTTTCTTCAATGAAAGTACGAACGTTCAGAAGCCAGATTGAAACCTAGAAAATAATTTGATGAAGCTCTGAATAACAGATTGCCTTCACTGCGCAACTACTATGGACGTAAACCCCTTGCTAAGACATCATCAAACAGCCTTAGTTAATACCGTTTTCTGTGCAAAGATTTCCAATTCTATAAAGACTTTTATTATTTAAAAAGGACGAGTAATTTTACCGATCCACAAGTTCACAAAAATGACATTATGACAGAACGTCAAGGAATCACTTCAAGTACCAAGCTGGCTATGAAAAGCAGTACTTTGTACTCAGGTAGAAAACATTTCCTTCAGTAGCAAGAGTAGAATCGTTTGACTTACTAAAGAAAAGTCAATTTGACGTGACTGACTCATTGAAAAACTGGGTATCAAAAAACACGATGATCTGCTTTGAAATAGGCTAAATTCACATCTTCATTTCAGAGCTTGTAGCAATTGGAGGTGTAATAATTTTTGTGATTCGGAAGAAATGGAATAAATTTTGTGCCGTCATATAGCGGACATGTGGCAAAAGAAACTCATGCAATCTATCGTTACCAAACTTTCGAGTTTCGAACATGAAGTCTGACTAACTTTCCTTCAACATAAGTGTGGAAACACCTGACTCTGTGAGTACAATTTATTATAACAAATGAATAAAGTATGACAACAAAGATGAGCAAACATAAAAGGTTAATCACAATTTATACAAAATTACAAATTACAGGACATAATAAGATTGTGTACAATGTGAGATCAAAACAAAACTGTTTTACAATATAGAGCTGAGCCAATTTATAACAGAGTCACTAAGTCAAAAAAATGTATGGATTAGACGAAACCTTACAATTCATTTAAATAATAAAATTAAGAGTAATACCTTCAAAAATTAATAAATTAATCACAAATGTCAAATAATAAATCAAAAAATTCTTAACAATGTATGCAGTATGATAAAGTTGAATCAATAAAGGTTAAAACAATTCGTAAAAATACAATATGAATGACACTTTTAACACTTATCATACAATTAACGAAATAGGAAGTATACACAGCACAAGCCTAGAATTAAAGGTATGAAATATATTACAACTTAATGTGACGCATTAGATCACAAGAGCCTGCTATATATTACAGGCCTACAGTAATGCAGCAGGACAAAATCAAAAACTATATTGAAAATAAAAATTATTTTATAAAACACAGTAGGTTATAAATTACAATTTTAAACTTTTCATATTGTTAAATACACATTACAAATTATATCAATAAATGTTACTACAACAGCCACATATTTCACAAATAATGATTTCGTTTATTGATTGTTCGAGATATGATATCGAACACTATCCACTGTCTCGAACCATCCAAGTTAGCGCCAAAATGCTTCTTCCTCTAACAGTCACTGTTTAATAGTGACAAAGGGGAAAATCTAAGGCCTTCAGAACACTGAGATGCACATTGACAAATGGCTGCTTCTCACAGCCACTAACTCTCACCACGTTTATAACAATAAAATATGTGAATTAAAATAATGCAAATAAGTCCCAGCATTGGACATAAACAGGGGAAAAAAGCCAAAAGTGAGCAAGGTCACATAGTATCCCCCATTAGCAAAGCTCATTGCACAGGGGACAATTAGGACAATTGCAGATTCGTGGGCTTACGTAAGTAAGCCGCTTGAATCTGTAAAAACTAAGGTTAGAAAACAATACGATAATATACAACAAAATAAATGGAAATACATGAGCTCCGCTCATGTATATTCTCAGAACCACCCGCACGCATTAAGCGTGAGGGTAAAGAATAACAAGCGATTGATTATTCGTCGTTTCATAAAGATGTGTGCAGAGAGACAGGCAGATATCTCGTAGATAGATATCTGCACTGTGGCACGAGAATATGAAACGAAGATAGAGACGCACAAGGTGAGACAGAAATTTCACAATAAACTGTTTCATTAACGATTCTTTTTCTGAACAGGATTCCGGGAAAAAAACAGAGAAAATGTCTCATTTTGCAAGTATCTTACACCTTCTGTATGAACATGTATGCGTAAGTGTATGTTTGCACTTTACAAGCATAATATCTACAATCGATCATCTCGAACTCTTCGTGTAGTCAACAAGCTAATTCAAGGTTGCATCTAGTCTGATGGTAGGGCACTATAATTGGTAAATACATGTTATGAGCCTTCTCCTTCAAAATCGGCGCCCTCCTGGTAGATATGAGTGCGGTATCTACAGGAACATTATGTATTGGAGAAGAGTGAGCTCACTCCGCTGGTCAACATCATGAAGTCCGTGTCCAAGCTCGTCCTTAGCAGGTAAAGTGCTTTCAAGTATGCAGGTTGGCTGTTAATTCCGTATCTAATCAATTACTGCTTGATATCGTGGTCAGTTGCCTAAAAATTCTCTGGTTCCAGTTTCAGCACCCCAATATATTAGTTTACTAACCTATGACATGCTCATTTGCAGTCTAAATTAAATTCTCCGTTTGGAGCACTTTTGGCTACCTGAACTGTTTTCAGTAACGTCCTTTTATCAGCGCATACTTCGGTGTTGATAGCTGGCTTTTCTTGATTCACTTCTAGCCCTACTACATCAAGAAGTCTCTGAACTTATTTCTTCGGCCACCACTCTTATGATATTCTTGACCGTAGCAAGGAGCTTGAGATCACACACAGGTTCGTTATATACATTTCTTGGAAAGCGCCACCTTTGGGTAGATAATGTTGAGTCTACGGCTCAACGGGTCCATGCACAAAACTGAGAAACAGTTTTTTTCTAGTAAAAAAAGGCACTAAGAGATCAACATTACAAATTCCATTATCTATTCCAATAAAATACTCATAAAATATGCACGCATAATAAAATTCACTGTTATTACCATATATTTATTTAATTTTTTATTTGAGCATAAAAGGTATAAATTTGGAAAATTTAACTAGCATCACTGGCATATATAAGATATTACTTTTATTATTTACGATAAATTCTTATCAGTTTCAGAAGACTTTAATGGTCTTTGCATATTTTCTATTCTTGGTCTTCGAACTGCTGCCGTTGAAAGTTCATCCTCTACTCCACTTTCATGCTGGAAACATGAGGCGTTATTGTAACGTGTTTAAGGAAAAATATTGACGTGTTTAAGAAGAAAAGCTGGTTTCAGAAAAGTAAAAAAAAACTGCTTGCGACTATATAGAACGTTGTTCCCCTAATTTCAAAGTTAACTTATAACACTTTCAACTCTAGACTTGGTATACTTTACTGCAATGGATTATTGTGAAAAAATGACAGAATCAACCAAACTTCTGCTACCTCATCATCTCCTTCATGACTTGTTCGACATGGATTCAATGAGTTATTTGCAATTTCATTCTTGCTGTCGTCTAATTTGGATATTTTCTTCCTTAATTTCCGACCTTTTCTTTGCACTTTTCTACTTTCTTCCTCGCTACTCTCACTTTCATTTTCTCTTATTACCGAATGTCTCAGAATACAACACCGTAATTGACATGACTTGTGACTTTCCTCTTCTTCAGGAAGAACGTGCAGTTCACGTCGTTCACGTTGTGGATTTGAGCTATATTCTTCTAATCCTGAAGATCACTGTATTAGTTTTTTAATATTTCACTGTAAAGTCTTCAATTTTCTGATTTTAAATTGAAAACGAATGTATAAATTTCCGTGAGTCAAAAATGTTTATTACTCTATACTGTTTTAAATCATTTTTATTACAAATAATCATGTAATAGGTTTATATCTTAAAACCATACAATGTTACATAAAAAATCAGTAACTGCGAAAAGAATTCAGAATATTGCCTGTAGCGTCATTTGACTCATCCCAAGCGGGCGATTCAGCATCAGTGATAGATTCTACTCTTGAAGTCAGACGTGATAAACGGCGTTTCAAAGCATCTCTAATACCATTAACTGCATTACTTAGTGTGGATGCTCTTCTAAAAGTAAAAGTTACTAAAGTATGTCAGCCTGCTATTTTTGGATTCTATAAGAATCTAGGAATAAAAAGTAAATTATCATGCCTTCCACGTTGTGTTATGAAAATTTCAGAACAAAAAAAATGAATTAAGATGCCTTCCACCACCAAATTCAGTACTAGAGAAATCGCTATCCAAATTTTCGTCTTTCATTTCTTTCATCACCATTTGTGTGCTTGTTCTCCGTCGACTGAAATTTTAAACCTTTTTCATCCAAGAAATTTTTGTTAATATGCATTAATCAATGTCATTTTCAAACAAATATATTAGTCAATATTATCTACATAACTTCGTTCTGATGATGCTTTTTCATTCACTGTCAAATAGTACTTTCACTCATTTTATATGATCAATATTTATAGAGTAAATTTTCACGCCTGAAAGAACGTATTTCTCTGCCAATACTTATTTGTTTTAAACTAAATACTGTATTAATATGCAAATACAATCAGTTATTGGTGGCATTTTTTTGCCATTAGTTTTTGAATGTAATAACACAGCACATTATCTTTATAAAGCAATAAAAAATAATTGGTTTCTGAAGTTTGTACAGAGCTAAAATTTTACTTAATATTTGAAACTGATCCAATCTGTGGATTATATCGTCCTTTCACCGCATCAATGCTGTACATTGGTTCTGCCATTTTCATCATCCAATTCTGATCCTTAATTAATGGCGGCTCCCATGTTTCATCTGCTATTGTCATACCAACCTAATCCATCAACAGTAAAGGTATAACTTAAATTATCACGATCAGAAATTTTGCAATGCTCAATAGCTATGCTAAAGAATTGTGTGTTATATGCTAATTATAAAAGCGTAAATACTTGATACATGTTATTTATACTGTATTCTAATTAATTCTTTTAATAGGTATATTTATTTTTGATTCCACAGCAATATCTTTGTTGAAAATTTACTTGCAGATTACGATCGATTAGCCAATTAATTTCGAGATCATCATCATCATCTCCAAAAGGATTCATTAAGACTTCTGCAACTTTCATCCAACCCATATAGAAGATGAACTGACACATTGACACAAATGGTATGTGCATATTGATCTGTAACACACGGATCAATTAATTTTTGAGAATAGCTCAAAGTCATTTTTGTTCTAAAGTATTGATTATATTTTGTGGCATTATGTTTAAACTACTCCCATTTTTTAATGCTTTTGAGTAAATTCAAGTGACTGATTAAAATAAGTTGAATTCATTACATTTCTACAAAATTTTTTCACATAGTTTGAATAATACGATGGAAAAAAAATGATCTCGTGGAAAATTATAGTGACTGAATAGTACATGAAGTGTAGTAGTATACAATAATGTCTCTGAGTCATTTTTTTTGCATGCGAACTTCAGTATTTGAAATGATGAGAAGAGTATCAGAACTTGTATGTAAGCAATAGAATTTATTGTAGAACTATCGTAGCAAAAAATCACTACTTTTTCTGAATCACGAAATTATGATAGAACTTCAGAATTAAGCAAGAAGATCAAGTGTATTAAGTAATGTGAATGATTAGGCACCAACCGTATCAACATAAGTTGAGTCTGGCGAAGGAGCAATATTTTGATGTCCCATCAGTGCAAGGAAGAAATATAATCGAACGATGAAACTCATTACTTGCGAATATGCCAGTGGAATGGGCACCCAATCATGTACTATTAATTGCGCTAAGTCTGATCGAAAATCATTGATTTTCTGCAGCAAGAACTTTTTGGAAATTGAAAATGTAAAATTTCTAATATTTTCTAAAAATTATTTTCTATGCAATAATACAGGAAAAATATTGTAGATATAACATTAAAGATTTCTTGTAGTGCTTGTGGACTATCAACACGTCTTTCCTTGCGTGCTCTACGAGCTACTCCCATTGCCCAATTAATTGGCACCCAGTATTTGCGATTTTTCGATTCTACTGCATTGAACTGTAAAAGTTCCATTTCTGTTATGTAACCTACAAAATTTTTTTAAATCTGTCGAATATTGACTTGCAGATATAAATCCATAAATAGCAAATTTTTAGTATTTCATTCACCTGGTAAGTAAAAGATTTTGTCCTTTATTTACCAGGTGGTATTATACAATAGCAAAAAAAAGCAATTATTATTATTATTTCTACCATTGTACTGAATTTTGATTCAACATAATTTACTGAATCAATCTTTATCGATGCTTTTCTACAGTATTTAACTACAAGAGTGTTTACTTCTTAACATGCACTTCCAAAATTGACTAACTATTGTAAATTAAAAGCTATTAACACTGCTTTTGCTATATAAAGTTAGACAAACAGTTCCGAAGTTTACCAGCCACAACTAATGTTTCCAACGTTGGAAATCTGCGACGAATCACTTCACTAATATCACGATATACAAGTATCTGAATTATTCCATGGAACTTTGACTCTTATAATAATAGTACTATTGTTACGTTTTCAAAGTATATTTTTTGAAACATAATGAAAATGCAGAAAGTATTACTTCTTTAGCTTAATTTCTTGTTAATAAAAATGAGTGAAAAGCAAGCAAGTTGCAAAATGTTTTACATTTTTGTTAACTTTATTAACTATCTTTCATAATTTTGAAAAACTGACTAAAATTTTTTAATAACTTAAAACGTTTCTATAGTTCATAAATCTCAACCTGATGGCAAAGTAAATAACGAATTATATTACGCCGTAATAGTCGAGCATGATCATCTTGTCCTGATATATAATTGCACAGGTAGAGAGCTGACCTGCAATAGTTCAATTTCAAACATTTATAGTTGTTGGCTAATACAGTATAATTTTGAGTGTTCGTTCAATCATCATGCATCTGTTTTTTAATTTTTTGAATCGAATTATTGTATTGCGCATTGATAAATTGTTCTGTTTAATGAAAGTATATCGTGTTTACTGAAGAATGATTTATCGTAGAACGAAGGTTGCAGTATGAAATGTAAAAACATGTTTTCATAGATGATGTAATTAATGCATGTTAACAAGATTGTATATTTTAAGAATTTAATCAAAAAATGAGTATTCTCTCAGTATATTCAAGTGTAGTCATTAGTTGATAGTCTATAAAGATAACATGAAAAGTTTCATAGCAATAAGGACAAACAAATGAAAAGACTGACGCATCTATCCAGCCGATATTTCTAAGCAGAAGCCAGAATCTGTTCACAACGACATTAATAAAAAATCCAAGCATGAATGTTATCGGTATAACATCAGTATATTTTGCAAATAAATGGCGCATATCTTCAAAAACACTATAAAAATAACTTTTAAAATGGAAAAGTTAGATCACAATTTTATGAAAACTATTGGACAATATTCTTGCAAAAAACGAAAGTTCGATCGAATTACATATTTAGTTTAACTTATAATCTGGTTGTCATTTGAAGGTTTTTTTTCTACAACAAAATTTGATTTAAATTTAAAATCTTTTCTTGAATATAAGAATATTCATTTGAGACATATTGCCTTGACTTTATAATCATAATATTCATAAATTACTTTCTGAATTTGCATATATACTTTCCTGCAATTAAAAAAAAAGCAATGCAAATAATGTAATATTTTACAAATGAAATGAAATTAGATGGCAAAAGAGATTTCAAAAAGAGATTTTTGCTAACGATATCAAAAAGTAGCAAAAAATGATAAGTACGAATGACTTTGATTAAATTAGATTCTTTTTTTCAAATCTAACCGTTTGTAAGCATCTGAAAGTAGAACGTAATATAACATTGAAAGACAAGCATATGCAATCATCCATAATGCGAGTTCCTTGTAAATTGCCTTCCATATGCTGCCACGCCATCTATATTAAATTTTGGTTAGTAAATACAACTCCTTCAAGTAATTTCGTTGTTTTTTTATTTGATTTATTTGTGATTTTATCATTGTACTGGTCAGTATTCGATTTAAAATTGCAAATCAGTCAAATAAAAAAAAAATTTAAACTTTGATGCAAATTGAAGTAATAAGCCTGTGATGTTTTTGTTTTTTGTGGAAAGTAGCCAAAAAAAGGACTATATAATAGCGATAAATGAAAATATTATCAGCTAAATCAGCGCACAATTGACATATGCGCCGATGTAAGCGCTACATTTGAATTGTTATGATGGGAACAGATTAGGAGAAAAAAATCTTTTATACCTAAACATTAATTTGCCAAAAGTTGTCAATTGAACAGTGCTAACATCGGCTGAATATGTTACAGTCATCACTGGTTTATCCAAATAATACAGAATGTAACAGTCTCGAAAAATTATCTAGTTTTTTGGTTGTATTAATAACTAATACTTTTGTTAGCGTTGGATAAATTGAGAATATTGACTTCAATTAAATGTATAATTTGTTGTATTCAGTGGTTGCGCCATTCAGCAAAATAACATCGTTGTTGCTAGCAAATATTTTCAGCTTCCCAGCTTTGTCACTTTTAAATCTGTAGAGCACTTTTTACCACAAGCAAATTTTACATTTAGTAGAAAGTTAGTGAGTAGTAAAATATAAGAAAGAGTAATTATTGAGATCCGTTATTGAGTTCAAAAAAATTTGAGATAATGCTAAATTTAGCTTTATGAGTGTGTGTTGCAAAACAGAACTTTTTATAATAAATTTATAATTTTACAAAAAAAATTATGAAGTCTTTGTTGTCAAAAAGTTTAGATAAGATTAATGAAAAGAAGCAAACAAAGAAGTACATTTTCATTGCAATTGAAACTTTCAATATTCATGATATCATCACAAAGATTTACCCCCCATTATTTGTTTTCGAAAAACATTTACATATAATTCAGACCACGAAATCTATATTTAATGCATGTGATCACTATTTTGATATATAATTTGTCAAAGATTATTAATATTTCCAGAATAGTACTTAATATTTATTGGACAAAATAAGAGTAAAATTTAATGAAATAACAAAAACTTAACACAATTTAGACTATTGCATAAATTGACAAACAAATAATGCAAACAAATTAAATTCTCTCATTTTCGACTTACCTCTTGAATTTTAGACAATTTCTGGTACTATCTTTAAACTAAAATAATTTTTTTACGAGGGAAAATGCGCTGATCAAGTGATCACTGATCTCATACACATTTTATTTGAGAGAATATCACAATGGTAGTAGAAATTTTGCAAAAATGTAAATAGTTATTCATAAAAAAACATGTTTTTATTGAGGAAAAATGAATAAATCAATGATGATAACGAAAAATAAAAGAGTTATTGAAGGAGAGAAAGTGAAGAGAAAGTGATAGAGTGGATGATTTTTCCATTTTTAAAAATAATACAACAATGAAATAGGTTTACATTGTACACACACATGTCTCATGTGCTTCACAATCATAATCGAAAAACTACAGCAAAACGTGAAGAAAATGGATAAAAATTACTCGAACTGACGTACATCGTTTCGAACTTTAGCTAATTATTTAACCGGACTTCAACTGATTATCCAACTTGGATAATAAATGATTATAATTGAATAAAATAGTGAAACTGTAAGTTTTTGTACACATCTTGGCTAAGATATGTTACTTCGCCTGCATAACAATACTTGGAAAGAAATCAGAAACACTTCTGGCAAACAAAAAAGCTTTCTCACAATTTTTTGGTTTGCTAAATCAAAACTGAAACGAAGTAGTAGAAATGAAAGCACTTGTAATAAGAACGAAGCAGTCTCGTATATCTTTTCAACTTTCCTTCTTTGCATATTGACTTTTGATCATTTTTTTATGCAAATACCAAATACATCTTTGCTTCAATGCAAGTATTTTCATAGGCATGCAATTTACAAGTTTCATTTTGCTTACTGTTTAAGGTTATGCATGTTCACCCAATTTCAAACATTCTTTTTGTACCACTTTACAGTAACCTCAGAATTTGTGCTTCATTCAAACAATAATTCATAAATCAATTTGGAATAAAGACAGATTTCTCGAGAAAAAAAAAAAAAAACTCTACAATCTACATTGAATAGTATGGTACAGAAAGAAGAGTAAAAATGAATTTTCAGTTTAAAACTGCCAACTAACTTATAAATGGCTATTAAATTATTATGCTATTTATTCTAGCATGTTAAGGAGTAAAATTCATAATTAATCATCTGCGATGGCAAAGAATCTTTCTCATTCTTATTATGAGAATCTGCTTCTTTGCAAGCATGCGTCAAGAATGCTTTGACTTCACGTGCATAATTTGAATTAAATTGAGCATTCAATCTTCAAATGGTTAATAAACTGAAATCTCAATACATATGCAATATTTTTGCACTGAAAATTTACAATTAATTGAACATCAAAATGTCCGTGAATTGTTATTTTGTCCAAAACACTTTGATAAACAAATACAAATTGACATGAATCGTATCTACAGCATATGTATTAAAAAATTATTAATGCTACAGTACAGTTAAAATGATTGAAAAAACTTCTACTGCATAATTTCATACAGATTTAAAATATCTTTATATTTTATTAATAATTAGCAAAGTACTTAGTAATAAAAATAAATTGCCTGCAAATTGTTCATATCCTTGATAATTCTAGCAAAAAAATCATTTCTGAATAAATTATATGATAACTTTTTACATTTTATCGGTAAGGCAAATTCTTGACTGACATAAAATGATCCATTTTTACTAGAATAGTTTATATTTTTGATCCAATTTCTGATATTTAAGAAATGAATCGTCAGTGTACTATTATATTCAACTGACTAATGGACAACATTATGTTACGGCGCAATTTTAAATCAGTTTTTGCAAATCACTATGGTTATCCTGGTCTTTCCTCAGTTCTTAAAGTCATTGGTATTTTTCGTCATTATGATAGTTTTCGACAACACTTTACTTGTACGTTGAAAGAAGACGAAGATTTGTATGATGCATTAAATCTAGAAATAAGTAAAATTTACAATGGGGAAATGGATTCCTGCTGTATAGCTCCAAGGGTAAAAATTATTTTCTGCTAGTTATTTCACTAATGTTATAATAATCTGACAAAGAGATTAAAATTGGCGGCAGAGTTTATAACCTTTCTCAGAGTAATGAAATAAATGATACGAAAGATTTTAAAAATTGAACGAGTAAATTTGATTTTGGATAGTAATAGTAGAAAAAATTGTTATAATTTAGGTAACACATACAGATATTTATGTTGCTAGAGTGAATGAGTGCTGGAAACGCGTGCGTTTGGATGAAATAAATTACACACGTAATAAATGTGTAATTGAAGCAATAGATGATGGACAATTGTTTACAGTCGACCGAAATGATATATTTACATTGCACCCTAAATTACTGAGTAACCAGTTTAGGCGGCCTCTTTGTGTACGATTTGTATTACCACGTAAGCGTGAGTTTTTATTTTTCTACAAAAGTCTATATATAATTGCTAACATAAATCAAAAACTATAATTACTTTTCAGTTAAACGAAGTTCTCTGAGTATTGCGGGTTTTAGCGATGGTCAAGTACGCAGTGGACAGTTAGTGAATATTTTTGTTTTATCAGATCAAGAACCATTTCTGGCACTTTTCACAGAAGGTTTGCGAGTAATAAAATAAATGGGTAAAAATAATAAATGAAGTGAACAATTATTTGGTAATCTAAATAAATCGGTAAGAAATGCATAAACTGTAGATTTTGTAAACAAAATAATTGTTATTAAGTCATTTTTTGCATGATTGCATTCCGTCATTTGATTTCCAATATTTTAACACTTACTGTTTTGTGCCGCAGTGATTTTGAGAAAAACTTAAGAGCAGCTAAAATCAAAACTATAGTTTTCAGCTTTTGTTCAGATCAAAGCAGATAAGCTGACCGATGATCTCGATCCCGGTAGTGCAAGACTTTGGTTAATCATTTTTATAGCAAAGTTATTAACATATGTGATAATCTTAATTTCAACTCATGTAGGGAATTTGCAGCAACCAACACGGTTAAGAGTAAAAAATATCAAGCGATTATTAATTTAAAATAATGTGACTGATGATAAGATTAATTTTGTTTTCGTTTTTAGGGCAACAACTTTGTCCTGTGAATCAGTAAGATGTCGTGGTGTGGCGTATGGTTCTTATACGACAGCCAATTTGCCATGTGACGTTTGGTGTGATGTGACAGTTGTAGCGTTTGAAAGCTTGGAAGAAGTTAAGGTACGAATACCAGGTCGGTTTTGGTTAGTTAGCATTCACTGCAATGAAGAAGGAATCTAACAAAGAATGGTAGTAGCTAAAGAGAATTTGAAGAAATGCAATAAATGATTGAAGGAGCGAAGAAAATTGCTTAAAATTCTGAGAATATGTGATGAAGAGCGTGCACTCCTCGACAAGCAAAAAATCTATGATAAGCGATTTTCAGAGCAATCCATCCGTCTAATGTATCTCGAGGAACTTCTTGATTCAGTTTATGGTAGTGAAGGGATTCGGGTACGTCTGGCCTTTGAAACTGAACTGCACATTACTGAAGGTCTCGCGTGTGTTACTTGGGATGCACTCAATGCGGTACTGATTTACGCTTTAGTTGATTCTATAAGCAATGCAGCGGTTGATGACATTGGGACAAATATGTTTCACAGTAGATTAAGGCATAATATTTCAAAACAACAGAAAGAGTCGAGGTGATTGCAGCGTTGGTTACGTGCACGCATCACGTGTATCAGTGGTGATAGGTCAGTAGTTGACGTTACTGCAGTCGATTATCCATCTGTTACATTGCGTGGTGTGAACTTTCGAAATGGGGAGATTTATATGCTTCGAACAGATCTGCTCTTTCCGCCATTGGTAGGTTCTAGTATTTTTTACTAATAGTTGAATTCATAGTAATTATGATCATATTATTGACTGAAATTTTCAGTCAATAATATGATCATAATTACTGTTTTCAGCCTTTTATATTTTTTGTAGTACTAGTTATTGATGAATAGTTTATAATTTATAGATTTATTATATTCTGTAATGACATTTGTCAGTAATTTAAGTGATTTTATTTTGTTGTGTAATGTTTTGGTTTTTAGTTACCATAAATGTTTGTCGCGTATGAAATTTGATAGCTTGGTCAGCTTTGTAATGTATAATCAGTCGGACATTTTTATTTTTGCTACTAAGTAAAATCTTGTGGACACGTTCAGTCGCAGTCATGCGTGTAGTACTGCTTTCCAGTTATTATCATCATTAACCTACTCAGTCATCTTGAAGATATCAGTAACCTACTCACTCATCTTGAAGATAGTGATGATAATGCTTATTTTGGTCATAATCCAATAAGACTAGTGTAAATTTAAATTATACTATTTGCTGCATAAATTGTGCTAGATCATCGCAAATTCTTTTACACTTCTTTTCAAATCAAACAGTATTGAGTTGTAGTGTTGTTCAATTCGAGCCATCGATACTAACGGCAAGCTAGGATCCATCGCACACTTCACCATAGCAAAGGAAGTTCTGCAAATCGGTGCTCATGTGCGTGTCTTTTCGCCTTCTTCATCAACCCTTTCAGTAATTGAACTGGCAAGTGGCGTAAAACTTGAAGAGTATATTGAACACGCTGTTGAGGTTGTGTTTTATAATCGAAATTTATTTCTTGAACTAACCTCTTTTTGTGAACTCGAAAATTTCTCTGCCTTCTCAGTAACTAAACTTTTTCAATTCATTTTCTTGAAATTTTCTTTTTCTCAACGGTAATTGACGGAAAATCATATCATCTTCAATTTGGGCATGTTTTGTAGGTCGATTACGTCCGACGTTCAAGATTTAACCAGAATTATGGTCTGGAAACTACAAATGCTGTGGGTTCTCTACTTTTTGTGGTGTCAGTTTGCAGCCTGGTGTGTTATGATATTTTAACTTTCAGGAGACAGAGCGGCCGTGTTATAGTAAAAACAGAGGCTTATATTCGGACATGGTTTCCTTTTCTTCAAGTATGGGCAGTTTTCCTCGTACAGTTCTTCCTCACGAACGACATTTTGAGTCGTTTAGTCAGTCGTTATCATTAGGTCGGTCTTGCGATTTATTAATCGTAATAAGAAAAAACTGAACAGGTGCTTATTATTGGGCACGTTTTGCTTTTTGGTAATGTGATATTTATGAAAGATGCAGCAGTTCTAATGAACCAGTGTTTGTGTTCGGAAATTTCATTATAACGGAGTCAACTGCCCTAATTAAGGTTCACAACGTCGACCTTTACGTTGTGGAGTCAGTGTCCTGCAATCACTGAAACGACGTTCTATGGATGCATTTGCAAAACCGTGTGCAAGCCACCTGAATCCAGTACCATCGTCATCCATAACTCCTGCTCTATCATATTCATCATCGCACTCTCAGTTTAAAATGCCAAATATATATTTGCATTCATCTCAACGAAAGCTCGTTGATAGTTCTCGATTATTCTTACCAGTGGATAAACACAAACAGAAGCAATCAGATCTTCCTTGTGCAGTAAGTGCCATTACCGAATTTTATTTATGCATCATTTGCAGTTTGACTTATAATTTTGGGAATTAGAATAGCTGTTTCAAAAACATTTACTGGAGATAATACATTGTTTAGAAAAATTTAGAGTTCGGAAAGTGATTATCTGAATAAAACACTTATGTCTTGTGAATCTGAAAGTGACAATGAGACATTCGGCAGGTCAGTCAACCGAAATCAGCTAAAAGTTAGTTTCTGATATGTCCACATATCTTTTGCACTATGTTTTATTTCGCCGCAGCTACGAAACCCGAAGAACTTAAAACAATTTTTTCAAGCTTTGAGTATGTACATATGTGTGACCGATTTGATAGCTCGTTTTTGGTACAGCTTTCAATTTTTTTTCCGATTAATACTTTAGGATTCGTCATTAGCCACTGTTCGACCATCACCACCTTTGTGTAATTCGGATTCTTACTCGGAGAATTCTGATCTATTACGTCGTGAGGCAGGTTTTTGTTTTCTACTCTGTATAATAGCAAAAAATTTTTCCTCTACTCAATAAAATAGCATTATTTTCAGATGTGTTAGGACAACTATAAACTTTCATTGTTTTTGTTGCAGAAATCGATCCAGGTAGAAATCTTAAACATTAACTGCGCAACAGAAATTTTTTTGAGCACTGCAGAGACTAAAAAGCAGTATGAAGCGCTCAGGAAGGAGCTTTCACGTTGTGGAAATGTTAGTTTTTATTTCACTTACAGCTATGCTCACATCTAAAATAACTTTAGATATTTAGTTTGCTTTACTATTAGGTATGGGAGTAAAAATAATTGTCTCATTGGGTTAAAAACTTTGTATATAATCTTTAGAGTAATCTATCGTTGGTGTTTAGAGTAATCTATCGTTGGTGTCAGGAACATGGTGTTGCGAAAATGAGTACTACTTGTTTTGGTGTACTGACAACTGCTGCTGGATGAGAGTGAAAATTGTAGCTCGTGAAGATGATGACTGGAAGATTCTCTGTGTGGATACGGGTGAAGAAAAGTTCGTCAAGTACAATTCGCTCTTCTTCCGTCTTCCAAAACAAGTTAGCCAACCGATAGATATTTGAGAACACAAACTATAAAAATACAAATGTTGTCAATACATTATTTTCTCGTGTATCTGGACAACTATGATAATTTGATCGAAAATTTATAAAGGAGCAATTAATTGGCGATTTATGGGTTAAAGATCGTTGTCGGTTATGATAATTTTTTTCAGTTCACTATCAATGAATGGCCGCCGACGTGCATAGGGCCTCTTCGTTTGTTGGGACGAATGGATGCACGATGGCTAGGGATCGGGGCGCGTGTTTTTCTGCGTAGCCTCTGTGAGTATTCACGATCCTTAACAGCCGTTTTTGGGAAAGGCGACAGTGATCGAAGTGTAATACTCTATGATGAATTAGGGCGTTGTTTGAATGAAAACTTTCTGAAATTTATCGAAAGTGAGGCGAACACTATGCAATAGATTGCTGTTGATATATCACTAAAATAATTTCGATAAGATATTCTTTTATGGTACTTGTCTAAGATATGTTAGGTGTGCTTATATGCTCACTTGTGTTTCTTAACATCTTTACATTTATGTAAATTTGTTTGATAAAAAGTTGAAACTTTTCTTGTTCTAGAGAGGCTAAAATTTACATTATAAATTTGAAAGTAGGACTACATATTTATTCCAAATATCTGAAGTCACATAGTATAGATAGACCCATGTCTCTAGTATTGATTGTGAAGTGGAGACTAGCTTTGCTTCGTTTGAGATGCTCAAATCATGAGAAAAATTAACCCTGAAGTGGGGACAGTAATAATTAGGATGACCTATTTGTTGTTTGAATAATGATTGTGTGACAAGTTGATGGTGGAGGGCCAAGTGAAATATTTGAAAGCAAGGTGATAGTAGTTTCTTTATTATCGTTCAGATGCGGTTATTATTGGCAGTTCCTCGGTTAGTACCACGAACGACTAGTTTCGGATTTAGTAGAGGGAAGGCATCTGCAAACTGGCCCCTTAAGAAGCCACGATCATATCGCAGGCGTTTGTACGATGCGGCACTCGAACCTATGGTACCGAAAGTTCAAAGTGTGTGCCCTTCGTTTAAGGAAGTGAACGATTATTTCAAGGATTTGAAATCTTCCGTAAGTTTTCAGGGTAATGCTTACCCTTCTACTCAATTCATTTTGTTTTGTCATTAATCCGGAGGTTAGGTTATGTGCAGGAACATAAAGCTAGTTAGATTCCGTAGATATACACAGCATTTCAGTATTCAAAGTTTGATATGGCATTAGTGAAACACATTCGGAATATAATCAGGAGCGAAGGTTATCAAGTTATGGGGATTTGTCACAGACTTGCTGTTAAACAGCGCACTGAATGGCTGGCCTGGAACCGGTAAGTGTTGTTCTGTTCAAATAAAACTGCATTTCCTCTTCCTAATTCAAGTTACATTTTCGATTACGACTGAAAGGTCTCGATGCTCGGGATTATGGGAACAGAATCATGAGAAAAGTATTTGAAGATACACCCTTGAAGTCACTGAATGATACAATATTTGTAGCCGCCAACTGTCAGATTTTTGGTAAAGATATTAACGCGATTAAAACAATTATCACTGAATGCAGAAATATTGACTGGCTAATACCAATAGGTAATTTATTTGATATTTCTGTCAGTGTTACCGGCGAAATTATTTAACACATTACATATATGTCATGTGGTTCATTGATTGCGTGCATATGTTAATAGTCCAAGTATACTCAAACATATTCAAGTACATGCATTTATTTTCAGCCATCGTCTATGGATCCCGGATATTATCTATATCTGAAGTTGAAGAACTGTGTAAATTGCCATCATTAGAAGATCATCGCGCGCAAACAATACAATTGTTGTCACTGCCGTCTAGCGAATTTATTTCGACTATAAGTTATCACATGCTCCACCTCATTAGCACACTTAACTGCATAGGGAATAAAAAGTCCTCACCTTAATTAAAAAATTAGCGCTGAATATTTGCTGTGACATTTTGACGAACTAAATGACTCTGGCATCATTAAATTGATTACTTTGCAAACTGCAAGACTTAATGAAGTGATATATTAAATTGGTAACTTTTATTGTAAAATTAAATAAAAGCACATATTCGTTCATAATTAAATGGGTTTCCTCCACTTAAAAACTTTAATTCAGTCCTCGCTCGCTCTGTACGACCTGAAAAAAATGCAGAAAAAATATGTGACTGATGATTGACGTGAAGGGTTTAGGAAGCGTAGGATTGCAATAGCAAAATTTGATTGGAACCAGTTCATTAATATTTATATAGTTCTGTGGAGAAAAAGTCAACAACACATTATCAACAATTTATTTTATTTGATAGGAAAAGCTCCTAGAGCAGAAGACAACTTTAAAAAAGTTCTCATTTCTAGATTTTGCAGAGTGCCTCACATGAGAACTTGAATGGGACTTTTTCTAATGAAAACTTTAAGGTATCATGTGAAAACTTCAAACTTACCCATCTTCGAAACAATCCAGTTCTTCTCAACATAATAGTCGTAGAGGGCATCCATTTCCTCTGTTGTATATAAAGAAGTTTCTATGGGTATGAAAGGTTCGATTTCCTCTATATGCTGCAACAATTATTATTTGTATATCAGTTTTCAAATCTACATTCAAGTAATAGAAGGTGTAAAGTCAGAAATGCCAGTTTTTTACCAAAGTATAGACAATATAACTAACATCTCCAAAGAGCTCCAAAGGTGTATCTAGTGGTACAGTAAGATGGTCACGTGCGTCACTAATTTCTTTTTTGTCGCCAACTAATAAACAAGCACCATTGGTCTTGAAAATGAAAATGAATTGGTTTTTCAAGCATTTCAGAAATATGTACATGCACAATAAGATAAGATCAATTTTTGCTCTTTCAGATCTCAACATACCCAGTCATTCTTGAATAATTTCCGAATAGCATGCACCAAAGTGAACTGATTTGGGTCCACTAATGCATGATTTTTGTCTTTTAGTGTTGTTTTGCCAAAGAGAGAATTCGCGCTGTCGACTGCTACGAGTAATGGAAATTTTCCATTACTGCAATGATGAGTCAGTTCCCTCAATAAGCCACCGACACAATCAGATGACAGGGATGGTGCGGAAAGACCCTGGGAAATGTTGTTATACGTGGTAGTCATTTTCTTCACTCTTTTCTATCTTGAGAAAACAATCCAATTAAATGAGTAATGAGAAATAATGACGGAAGTAATATTTACAATATCGACAATATTTGTTATGGGCTCTCCAGTTTTCGTTTCTTCTACTTTCGACCACTTGTAATGTTTTTGGGTTTTACATTCCTGCAGAAGTAGTTAACATTCGTAAATATATCGTGCAAATAAAACAGCTTTCTTAATTAAGAAATGTAACCTTGAGTTTTTCCCAGTTCAGAGTATTCATCATTTTGAATCGATGTAAAATTTGGTTTCCAAGCTTCGGAAAATCTATTCGTCCCTCTCGATAATTTGACATCATTACTTCACCATAATTCCGCATCAGGGTGATTGCTACAAGTTTCAGTAAAATTAACTGTTCCGTAGTGCCCATTTTTTAAAGGATATAATTAGGATACTCCAACAGTTAAACTTTTCTCACAAGCTTGAAAAACAGAAACTATACGCATTCAAGCCCTGACACTAGATGCATAAAAGCATACCGATCAGTATTGATCAGTGTTTGATACAAAACTCGTAAACGTCCTCTTTTTAAATGCAACGGAAATTATTTAATAGTGAAACTAAGGTTTCAAACTTTTGTGAGAGACTTTATGACTCTCAGCTTTAAAGCTTCAACATTGATTAGATTAAAGAGTTAGAATTGTATTGTAGAACTTACCATCTGGAATTGCAAATATTACCCATCCTTGTTTCCACACGTGATATATAATTTGGTGAAACGTCATTGATTTACCGGTACCCCATCGCCCCCATAGCAGAAGACGTATGTTTGGAATGTTCATACTTACCAGCTAGATGTAAAAATGAAGGAAATTCAGAACTTCTGCGTCATGCATATTGAAATTAGTAGCAATAATTATTTCCGACTTTAACAGTGACACCACGTCTTTGTGTTAGCTGCTAAATCTAACTGCAAGATTTGACATGGATAGAATTTTTCTTGTCGACTAAGATAAGATACTGTGAGCATCATTTTTGCTCACAAATTTGGAAGAAATATTGAATAAGAAACTGTGCACAAAAAGTAATGAACAAGAAAGCTACAAATTAAACCTTCAGACACGTAGTCGCTTCATAAGTTGGTTTCCTATACAACCATACACATTCGCCTAGTGTTTCTATTTGCTTTCGAAATTTCACAGGCAACATGAATCGATCATATAACTTTTGGACGTCCTCATTTCTTACTTGATAAAGGCAACCTATGTCCTCATCAGTTAATACTAGCTGAAAAACAGCCCGCACAATTATGACGTTGAACATGATTTTGTCCAAATTTGCTTTCTTCTAAAGAATCAACCTTAAAATTGAGGAAATTGCAAGTTTGAGTAAAAGTCTACACATGTAACCAACCCGACCATTTACGACGATGATGAGCACTTACAACCATGACGTGAACTTAAACACTGCCAACTCTCACAAAATAATTCATGCAGCTTTTCAAAAAAATAACTTCCCAATAGTATAAGGTAATTTACAATACGATTAAAGTGTTTCTCTCATGGTAAATAATATGTTGAAGTTCTGTCAGCTATTTGTATTACACAGTATGATCTAAGTTGACTTATAAGAACTGATATCAATGAATCCAACAGTTCCAAATTCATCCACTTTGTCAATCAAAAATTAAAGTTACTGGATATTGAACATACTGGATCATCTGTTTTTGTTTTCCGATAAGAGTTAGTGAGCAAGGGTGATAGAAGAACTGGTTTTACTGAAAATAATTGAGCTGTACGGATTAGCCATATAAATTCTAATCAAGTCGTTAGTAAAAATGACTCTCTACCTCACATCAGGCAGAATTTGTAACTTACAAAACATGAAGGAACGAGAGGTGCTGAATCTACAAATCATCACTTCTGGAAGTTGAAGAAGACAAAAATAACCAGCTACAAAATCGCCACAGACAAATGTAAGAATCGTCAATCCTTAATACTCTTTCTAGAGTATATATTTAGAACTGGTCTAAAATATAGGACCAATGACATATGTTTGGGTACATAATACTGCAAAAACGATCGTCGACGACAGAGGCAATGAATATGGGTCTTCAAAAGCATAAACTTCAGTTTTTAATCACATGCTTAAATTAGGAACATATGGAATAACTTACAACTACTAGAATTGAAAGATGAATAATCAACCAACACAATGGTATTTGCGCTAAAAACTGAATTTAAATACAATTTATTCTATAACACAATTGATAACATCACTGACAAATTCCCAATATGATACAAATGAGCTAATGAAGCATTTATAACAAGGAAATTGATTCATAGCATGTATTTGTTCAATATTATGATGACTAAAAAAGAACTAGAATTTACATGAAAAAAACACTGTCCAAAAAATGTTAGAAATGCCAAACTTGTGATAGTTTTGGGACGTATAGATATAGCGACAAATTTGCAAAGCAATAATTAACAAATAAAGGATGCAGCACTATAAATTCCATAGCACTAATGTTGTAAGGCATACTGAAATTGACTGCTGCTCTCATAATCTGCCATATCCAACGCCACTTCGCAACTTTCTCGTACAATACACTATAAATATGATTTCACTAAATTTTCACTACGTACTTTATTTTGATAAGATAATAAATTACCAAGCAGGAAAACATGGATTACTTTAAACCAAAAAAAAAAACAAAACGAAACTCAACAAAATGTGAAAAAGTTACGGGAGGATAATTTGATGAGGAAGTTCAAGTGAAAGTAATACAAATCTTCCCTCAGCTATTCATTTCATGGTCATTTTTTAGAATGTAAAAAAGCACAAAATCAGGTCAAGCATACTTCAGAGTCATTTCGGAACTTTTTCAACACTTCTTTGCATTCTTCGGTAGCTATTGCTCCCAAAGCTTCAGCACATTCATGTCTGACCATATGATTTTCTTTCAGATTTTCTAATGAGAATTTAAGTTCTTCAAATGCTACAGGTGACTGAACTTGACCTAATGCGTAGGCAACCTCATGCCGCAACAGTGCACTATCACTGCAGGTTAACCCTGAAACCAAATTCTCAAGATCTTATATCGACTCAAAAAAGTTATATATGGAAGTAATAAAATTTGTTCCCTATAAATTTGAAGACTGAAATATATGTAAAAAACTTATAATAGAACTCACCAAAAAACAACGAAATCTACAGCAATTCAAACTTGCGAATATCAGAAAAATATGAACTTTTCAGCTTCTCTTTCAAGAAATTTGAAAAAGTTGTTAAAAAGAACTTAAAATATACTACCAATTTTAAGGAGAAAAACCTTTAGATAAAGCTTTTATTGCCTCGACTGAACCAATATTACGAAGACTAAACAGCGCTTGATACCGCTCCCACAGAGGTTTAGAAGCATCTACTAAAGCTGATGTAAGCTTTTCAACACTGGTTTCAACAGAACACGGAGTTGGATCTGCAAGTAGTAACTAAACTGTTATCCGCATAGAGTTTCAAGATTTTTCAGAGCGAATAAGTAATGCGCTACGGAAATAAGGAACCTTTCACTCGTAGAGGTTTTAGATCTTACAATATGCTTAATTTCACAATTTCGGCGCTTACAGACAATTCGTGTCTATAAGATAAATGTTCACTTACGCTTTCAAGAAATAGAAAATTGAAAAAAAGTACCACTAAAAATTTTGCAATCTAATACATGTTGCTCTTTACTATTAATTAATCACACAAACTCTGCAACATTTTATATATAGCTCGTTTGATGCAACCATACGTATAAACTGGTACCTATGGAATTGTACGGACTTTTCAGAACATTTTTGCAATGACGATTACTTTCTTGGAGCCATAATATCCTTTGCAAGGCTAACTTACAGGTTTCAGCGATAACCTGAGTTTTATCGTCAACATATTTCTCGAGAATAGAAATGGAAGAAAGAGAACCAATTGCACCAAGTGCTTCGCCCGCTTCATGACGCACTATATTCTCTAAGATTTAAAAACATATGAGCTCTTAATAAGTGCTTTCTTCCTATGTACAAATTTCAGAATTAGTGAAGCTGATTTATTCATATATTTGGGGTTTCTGAGTTCACCTTGATTTTTATCCTCAAGCACTGACTCAAGAACGGGTAAAGCACACTTATTTTGCATCTGACCAAGGCAGTATGCTAATTCATGCTTGAGCAGAGCTGACTTATCGCAAAAACACTGCGCAATCCACTGAACTGAACGATCACACCCAATGTTGCGTAAAACGAAAAGTGCGCGGAAACGAGCACAAAGTGGTTGTCTGAAGCGGGTTTCGATACTATGAGAAGCTGCTTGCTGTCAGCAATATACATGCGTTATTTCACACTTTTTACTTGTTTTAGCTGCGATAAAACACTAGAAGTTGACAAATAGAGATTAGAATATACACAAATCTTTTTATTCCATCACAAAGAATAATCACAGGATTTGGATGAAAATAAGGTAGGAAAGTTACACTTTAGTCCATTCTTTTTGCAACAAAGAAAGTTATATCATAAGTACCTTATGATATAAATTCCTTTATCTTTGTACTATCTTCACAATATTTATAACTGAAGAGATGTTTTCTAACTTTTTGATGAGAGACTTATTTTCACTATCATTTAAAAGTTTAAAAATTTACCTGCTATCGATCAAAACTTTGCCAATTTGATCAATTTCACTACCACTCAGCATAAGTCCAGTACCATACTTATCAAACATTCCCTCAATAAAACCTGAACCACTCCAAAATATATATACGAAAACCCACAATGTAATAAATATGAGCAAGACCGCGATGCAACGTGATGTTCTCACAGATTAATGTATGTATCACTCGTACTTGAAGAAGTAGTTGCAGTTGTTTAAAACTTAGCCATTAATTTGGATCACGATAACGGCTGTTTTATGCTTATCACATGAGAAAAGTGCATTATGGTACAAAAATAAAAATAAACTCAATTAAAACTGCCATTTGAAAAAATGGCATAGAAGACACGATGTTTTCACAGAATTGACATATTCCACTCTTGATCAAGAGGTGATCATGTTTTTTTTGGTTATTATGAATAGTAATTACATCTAATTAAATGATCAATTGTGGTCCTTATTTATATTTGCATGGAAGTGGACTTTACTGAAATATTCATGCAAATTATCTCTGCACATTATTTGAATTCCTCGATTATGGTGCTTGGATTCATTGTAATTTTATCCAGTATTCAGAGCGGTTTCTTAGTTCGTGATTGTCTCTTTGTCGCATTAGTCCAGATATTCCCGGGGTTTTGGTGCTCCTTATGGATGTACCTCCAGTTGTCCGACTGCCATCATCGTCGAGACGCGTTTCTGAATTCACAAACCTCGCTATCGTTCGTGACATCATCGAAGAAGCATATCATGTAAAGGTGGACAAACAAGGACAAGTTTATCCATCGAAAAAGAAATTAGGATATGAACTGTTTTTGAAAAGGTATCATAAATTTTCCTCATCAAATTAGGCTTTTCGTTACTAGTTTGATGGATATAAATTTTTTTTCAATAAATCGGGAAATTATTGATACCCCAGGAAGTCAGGATACTATTAGTGATATGATTACTCCTTGTATGTTAACTTGTATTCATTATTTTATATCATTTCACTTCTAGCAAAAGTTATTTCATGTAAACATTTCTTTTCATTTTCATTGACTGAGTGAAATAGTTCAAGAGGTTTAAAAGACGGAATTTAGCTTAAAATGTTCATTTTCATCTCTTTTGAATTATACTTAAAATAGGTTTTGTTGTAGGTTTGAGCCCCACAAACTAGTTGCGGGGTTTTTAACTGTGGTCAAAGCATTCCCGATTATTGCAGCTGAATGTTCCAAATATAATAGTTGGTGGACTCCAAAATTTTACCATTTGGTTTTCCTCATTGCAGATGTTAGTCATTCATTATTCTGTCATTGTCGGATATTGCTCTCAGAAACCTTTCTTACGTTCACATTTTTTTAATTTGTGTAATATCATATGCTTTTTAGCTGAATTAATTCAGATATCGTTTTCAGGCTTTCATGAGCTTGCTGGCTTCAGAATATGTAACTACCAAAATCAAAAATAAAAACGTAAGTGTTCAAAGATTTTGACTATGGGATCTACCAACTGTCTGAAAATTCTTTTATTTAAAATATTTCATGTATTATAGTTTCATTTTTATTGGTCGCATGATTTCAAAGATAGTTGACGTTAAAATTATTTTTTCATATGAACCCTGTTGAAGTTTTTGTATGAAGTACATCTTGGTATTGCAGTATAATCAAAATCCCACTTGCAACATTCAAATTACTATCAGTGATAAACAATGGTTCGAAGTTTTCAAAACTCTACTTCCTCTGAATTTTAATTTCGACTCTAATTTTTGGAGTTTGGCTGATTATGTACTGAATTTGACGAAGTGCCCAGAAAGCGTGGCCAGAATCATTATTGAAGCTGCAAGAAATGGTGAAGCTAGGTAAGTTCCTCATCTGTTCAGTATTTTTTAGTACTGAAGTAGTCCTATTTTGGATTTTAGTGGGCTTTTTATCTTTTTCTGCTTTTAAGGAATGTTGTTGTGCTGTAGGAATTTATGCTCAGTAGTGCTCGATTTTAAGCTTATTTGGTATTTTAAGCTTCACTGCACTTGATTATTGTATTCGAAATAAAATTCTTTCGCGCTACATTTACGACCCGACAGTATTGTATAAGGCTGCCCTTTTGGGTCCTTTACGTGCTAGTAGCGTTGAATCGTTTGCTGCTAGGCGAACTGAAGAATTCCGACAACGATGCCGTGAATTCCTGATAAGATTGGAGCATATGACGTATTCAGTTAAGGGATGGGAGCGTGCAGTCGGTAAATTCAGTACTTTTTGAGGCATTAGCCGCAGCTCTCTTTGCAGATACTACTGGTTGTGATGAAATTATAGATTCTGAAATTATATCTTGGTATGGAGCTAGTTTTATCATATTTAGTTTCCATTTGTTAGACATATTGTATCCAACTTCTGTATTATTATAGTTAGTTATTTGGGGTCGTTGAAGCAGTGTGATGTAAATGGTCGGGTGGTATCATACAATTACGCCTCGTTTCGGGATTCAGTTACAGTGATGATGCATGAACTGAGAAGAATGCCACCTGCAGATGATCGAATAAATGTTAAATGGGCGCATTATTTGATCAAAAAATGTGCTGCAAAATATTATTGTGAAAAAACATGGAAAGTAGGCATTTGTTTTTTTCAGTCATAGCATTTCTTTTTGTTGTAGTATATAAATGCCATAATGGCTTTTTTGTTTTGTTAGTAAAGTACAAGTATCCGGGAGTGTTAGTTTTGTAAATTTCGGTTAAGAGGAAAAAATGGTGCATTAAAGTAAAAAGTCATGTATTGCTTGCTTTAATTTCAAACTCATTTGTTAGGATGATTTTCAGTTGAAATTTGTTAGAATGATTTTTAGTTTGAAAATCTTCACGAAGTGCTGTGGACAATATTAGCTCAGAGGCCGTGTCTGCGAAAATTTGTTGTACACGCTCTTAACAATGATTTTAAAGATCCTCTGGCTGCAGAAATGTGGAGAACTTATAGAATATCTCCGGAATGTAGAACACATATGCCTAGTAATATGTGAATTAATTTTTCCGGTATTCCACAATTCAGTTAGGTTTCTGTCGTAGTTAGGTGGTAGTGACTTCTCCAATCATAAAGCCAAGGGTTGTATAAAATAACTAGAATCTGTTCCTGCAGTATCGAATTGTTATTTAGATAAGTTTAATGTCATGTTGCAAGCTCGCGTATTTTTTTAAATCAGAACAAAAGCTAAACGGAATGACTAAAAGTCAATTTGCAAATGACTTAATGGCTACATTGTTACAGTTCTAAATAGTGACTTCAATTTCAGAACAGAGGAACGTTTGGACCCACGCACGCCGAATCCACCGTATTTGAGTATTCCTCCAACACTGCAGCCAATCGAATTTGTAAGACACCCATCACATTTAAATCGTGTTTCAAATTTTCTTGAAGAATATGCAAACGATAATTTCCCACCGATTGGTATTGATGCAGAATGGTCTTCATATGTTTCTTACAGCAAGTAAGACTTCATTTTTTGGAGTGTAGGGATTCTCTGTAGTGTCAAATATTGTTCCATATGTCCTCTGGAAAAAAACTGAACAGCATTTTTTTTGCATATTGTGAATTATTTAGTTTTTAATAACAGCAATAGTCTCTCTCAGCAATTGTATTTATTATGATTTCATCGAATCTGAATCAACGCTAATCTTTCAAAAGTGGCTTATTTTCCAGTGGTTCGACATATGCAGTCACTTGAGTTAATTTTTACAGGGCTACTATTTTGCAACTAGCTATTCCGTGCTACGTTTTCATAATAGATATTGATGGAATCAAACCTTGGATACTTTCAGAATTCTTCACGAAATTATTTGTTGAATGGAAGCTCTTGAAAATTGGTTATTTTTATATTACTGTAATAGTTTTCGAATTCGTTCACTATTGGTTACAAATTGAAAAAGAATACCATGAGATAAGCCAAGTGCTTGGAAAATTCCGTGAGTCATTGACAGTCCTCATCTCACGACAAAAAAATTTCTCTACTGCATCATGCTATAGTATTATCTACTGTATTATGTTCTGATAATGATGGATGTACGTGAAACGATTCCTGTTACTGTAAGAAATCACGCAGCGCTAAAATCTGATTGACTTTTAAGGATATCGCTTTGATGAAGATCTCTTCCAGTTGCAAAGTGCTGTTCAGAATTGCTCAGCGCTGTACCATCCTCAAAATTTGATTTGTATTGGGAAACTTGTTAAATTTGTTAGTGAAATCCTACCTAATACATCATTTAATAATTATGTGGTTTTACTCGTCATTTTTCAAAAAAGAATTTGCCTATTTTAATTCTGATATGAGATTTTATGTGATAACCAATAGCACTTATGTCATTCGTTCTTCCTGATGTGTGCAGTGGTCTAAAGATTTTTATGAAAGTTTATTGTAGTTAATGAGAGAAAGTGCTAAGCGACCAGAAGTTAATTTGGATGGAGTTTTTTATCCGGAAAAGGCGCAGGCAATTAAGGAATATCCGGGACAAGCCAGTAAAATTGGGCCGAGAGATGAAACAATTGGTCTAGGTCATGGTAAATCAACAAATCGCCCAAGTAATGGTGGGTCAAGAGTTGGTCTAAGTCATGGTGGATCAACAAGTGGTCCAGGTAATGGTGGATCAATAATGGGTCTAGGTCATGGTGGACCAACAAATGGTCTAAATTGTGATGGGTCGAAGTTCAATTTTGGTGGGAGTTTTAAGAAAGTAAATCAAATGAAGGTTATATTTCATTCTTTTTATCAGAAAATGTTTCTGTTATTTATTTGCATGTAGGACATTAAATTCAAACGATTTATTTGGAAGCAAAATTCCAATCATTAGTGAAATATCATAACTTCTCTTAACTTTCCGTTTTATTTCCCTTAAATTCTCTGACAATATACTGAGATATTTTTTCTCGATAACAGTGAAGAACATTTGGATAGGAAAATTCGATTTCTCAAATTTGTGGTTGAGTTATTTTGTTTTTCTCCTATTTTAAATCGCTTTGACAAGAAATGTTATAAAGTTTAGGTCCCGGAAAATCCATTACTGAGGGACATAAGGGGGCTGTCAGCATTATGTGAACGAGTTTTGGGAAAACCGTTAGACAAAAGTGAGCAGTGTTCAGTTTGGGATCGCCGTCCTCTTCGGGACTTGCAGGTATTATCGAAAAGTTCTGCTTTTTCCACTCATAAAAAAATTCCTCGTTCATGCTGTTTTGATAAGAGGGAATGATTGCAGGGAAGTGGACTCATACTCCTTAATATCCCGATTATTTAAACTTTGTACTTCTATAATGTTTCAAGGTTTTAACAGCTGCATATTTTTAAGTTGCGATATGCAGCATTAGATGCTTATTGCATGCTGATGTTGTATGACAAGTGTATTGACTGGGCCTCCCGATTAAATCTGAACCTGGACGAAATTCGCTTGAAGCAAGAAATCAGTACTGCTCGACCATTACCACTTTTCTGCGACAGATTTTAAAGTCGATTCTGAAAAAATTTTTCAATGATGCATATATATTAATAATATCAACCGAACTTCAGTTCGGTATATTACATCATACTCCTCGTCCTTTAATTATCGGCTTCGAAACATCTTAAGTAATTGGCACTGAACAGTGGAATATGGAAGTAGTCTTGTTCTTGTAAAATATTTTCACCTATCAACATCGATTTGCTAGATTTTAGAACATGCTTTGTACTGATTTTGGGATCAAAAGTAAAAAAACATTTAACTTGGGGCTAACTAAAGATTTAAAATGATTATCATAACAATGTTTTGCTCTTTTGATTTCAATGCTCGTTCTTATTCCATTTCACGTTTTCACTCTGATATAGCTAATGGTCTCTAGTAAACTTATGAACAGTAACGTTGCAGTTTATGAGTGGGGTTAAATATTCGGAATTCGTGCAGTAGTAAATTTGGGTAGTTAGTACAGCGTTTTTCATGAACTTTTAGTATTTAATCTATTCCAGCTTCACTTTACTCATGAGGCATCTACAAGCAATTCTTAGAAAGTGTTAATATTTATGCGTGAGCTGGATTGGAATGACCTTCACTTTATTGAGTTTATTTGCTGCTATTTTCTCTAATATTGTTCTCATGAAATATGTAATATGAACTTCTGTTTTTAATATTGCCACAAATAATACTATCGGTAGAAGTCATTAATAATAACTAGTATATTATTAGATGTAGTGGTGACTGTTCATGAAAATAAGAAATAGGGATAAACATGCTTAAATAGTGTATGCAGACTAAAATATCGTTTTCCAAAGAGGTTCGTTAAATCTCACTCCATGGTAGTGAAGATTTTTGATTAAATGGAGGCTGGCGCTGCTTATTGTTCGAGAAGGCTTGAGTACAGTACTAGAATCTGCTGCTTTGGTTCATTATGTAATTGAGTCGATTGTAATTCATGGTGCTCATTCTATAGGAATTTGGTAACTACTGGAATCTCTGATGGAGCTGGAAAAATGTTGTAAATGAAGATTACTGGAAATACAAAAAAAAAATTTGAAAGGAAAGGCAAGATATGCTGTAGAATGAGGTTTCTACTATTTAGTTATTAGGTTTTACAGTCTTTTGGAATAAAGGAAAGTTTTCGATAAAGAACTATTTTTGGCCTATAAATAATTTTGATTGAAATATATTGAGTGATGTCTGAATGCTCCGTTTGCAAAATAATGAGATTGATTAAACGAAGGTTAACAACAAATGTATTTGCGAGAAATGAGTACTGTTGGTGTATTGTTTGATTAAATTCATTCTATCACACAATTTTTACCAATAATTTTCAAATTTTTGGAGGGAAGAATTTTTTTAAATTCAAAGAGCTACTGAATCGAACTATGATGTTGTGATTAATCTGTTTCATGCTTGAGATAATGAACCTAGTCCATTCATACACTCTGTAACATGAAATGAACGACAAATCATATAAGCTAATAGTTGACGTTTGTATTTCTTTTTCATCACTAATTAAAAACTAGCGCGGATAGATCATATAGTATCTTTAAGATATTATTAGCCATTTGATAATTTTCCTAAACTCATGCATTACTAAAAATCTTCGCAGCAGCTTTCTTCCCTGTAATGGAGCGATTACCAAATCGATAAAGGTTCCACAAATTGAAAAAGAGAGTTATTTGCTGCAGGGTTAGACCTCTAGGTCACAACTACCATAGAGGTTGACAGGTGGATATTTATTAAAAAACTCAGTGATGTTTGTGTTCATGGTGATATATGGTGTGAGTCTCGTCCCTCTTTATCATTTTCAGCTATTTCTCCGAAATGCATTATTTGTTGTTCTGAATAGTTTTCTTCATGAGTTGAATAATTATTCCACAATACTCTCAAAATTTATGAAGGAAAAGAATTTTGAGAATCATTGAAAGAAGACATTGAAAGTGAAGCAGTCCGTGAGATGAAGTTTTTTTTCGCTCATCCAACATAACTACAGATACGATTAAGTCACCTTCATCTGTAGAGATAATTACTTGCTATTTTATTACGTTGTTGAATATCTGAATGAATGATCAAAAGATTTTTTTGTACATTATTCATATACTAATGATTTATGCTGGTGTTTTTTTCGCATTGTTATAAGTGAGCGGAAACTTCCAGACATGTGGTTGTTGCACTACGAACGTACTATATGCTTTATTTGTACATTGATCGAGCTAGTCTTATCAGATCAGCTTGTGTCAGCTTATCATTTAAGCACTACAACACGAAAATCAAGAGACGATCAGCAATTAACATATTTATCACCTTTTAATCAATCTATACATAATGTTCATAGTAAGCATTTTTTGTTCTGCAAGCTTCTTAAGCAAAATAAATTTCGGTAAATTTCACTTGACAATTTTAGCAAAAACTTATCAGCACAATCTGTAATGAATGAAGCAAAAAGCAGTAGTTTTCGTACAATATTGAAAAGTTGTGCGAAAAATTGAAATACTGAAAGTGAAGCGATTTATAGGATAAAATTAATAATTCTTCTTCGTTCTCTCAACTAAATACGGACAAAATGAGATAAATTTATTTAATTTATTTTTAGTGGACGATGGACCCATATGTTTCTGGAACTGTCCGAAGTTACAACCAGAAATGGCGCTTCAAAATTGTCCCAAGTTAAAACGTGGTTTAATTTGTGGTAAATATCAAATTTATCATGATTATCGTCCTTGCCCAACTGCAACAATTTTTTGTCGACGAAATATGACAAATTTTAAAGAAGCTGGAGTATATGTAGCTGTTATTGCTACTGATCTAGCAAACAAGTAATAATTTGCATTTGAAAACCTGGAAAAAAAGATTAGATAAAGCAAAGAATTTTGACTACATATTTGATGTAGGTTAAAACATCAGATTTTCCCATTTGTTTATTACGTTTTACTCTCAAATTGGAACAAAAATTTGAAGAATGTAAGATGTCAATGTCGAAGAAGAAAGAGTTCGTCAAATTTTAAGGTTGAATTCAATTGCAGATTTGTTACGCTAAATTGACAATACTTTTTGAAAACGTTAGGTTTTTACATAGTGAAATTAATTTCAGAAAACATGGTTTATACATAGTACCATATGTAGATAGAGAAAATGGCATCGTACAACCACTGGTTCTAGAAAAGCCTTATCATGGTAACTTTGGTCGCGGTGACCTTTTTTGTGGTTCTAATGGCCATTGGGTTCTTCATGACACTACATATCAATTTGAAGTAGAAAAAATATTCTGTTTGATCGTTCATGCACGCAATTTAAATCATGTACTAGACTTGAAAAACCCTACATACGATCGCATAACTCCCATAAAACCTTTCGAAGTAGGTGATCCCGAATTTTTCGGTTTTTCAGAGAGCTATTAGTTGGTCATTGTAATGATTTGATAAGTTACGGCTGATTGTAGAAGAATATATGAGCCTGATAAGAATGAGCTTAAATTTGTTATTAATCACAAATGTTAAACTTAGCCTTAAAATATAATATGTTTAAACAATAATGCATAAAACAAGTTTGCATTAAATTTTCAGTTTATTAATAAAGTGATTTTGCCAAGTTATAATGTACAATACATCATATTAAATAAGGTATAATGAATAAGGAACATGCAGAAGTACTGTAAATTCTGCAAAAGTTCATACTAAACGATGAAACGAATTAAATTCTAGCAAATATTAAAATGCAAATACTCATCTTCAATTGCATGAGAATAAATTATGAAGATATGATATTATATCAAATGTATCAGTTGTTTAGCTTATAGATACTTCAACTTAACTAAAGGATTACTTCTTTTTCTCTTTACCATAAATATTTTGTTCACCATGTTACAGCGAATGGCAACATTCCTATATACTGATTATTTTTTATTAGTTATTTACTCCTCACTCCAACCAACTTTTTTACACACGGCACAACCCCTAGACAGACAAGAGTCTGTGTACCAGAACATGTTATTTCCATTAATATAAACACAATATTGGGTTCCCATTGGAAAACCGGGAAAAAATTTTTTGAAATCCACCTTACTTCCATCTAACCATTCAAACTCTTCACTATTTCGTCCACGCAAACCAATGAAAACACGTTTACAACCTGCCAACCCTATAACAAAGTAATTAAAAAACAACTACTGAGGAAAGTTATCTGCTTTTTATTAAGATAAAACTTCTTCAAAATGAGTCCCAGTTATTTTAACGCAAAAAAAAAGAAACTAATTATAGTTTTTTATAAAGCTTCTTAAATGTCCATAATAGTATGCAAATAATCTGCTATGCGGAGAATATAGCTAAAGTGTAGCCATTTTGGCACATTTAACATAGTAATTTACATAAATTGACCTCAACATTTACTAATGATATAAAAATGTGAGAATTAAAATTTTATTTTTTACCTCAGTAATTGATATGATCATTCATAAAACAATAATGGTATAAAAAAGTTTAGTATAAATTAAGTGCAAAAAATTTAACCATAAATAAAGGCATTTTCTGCCTCTGAATGTACTGAGGTCAAATGAGCTCCTTCTTCTGCGCACATACGTTCATGTTTCACAACACTACTGTTTTCATCTCCAGAAGTTGCGCTGAGAAGCTGCAATGAAAGTAGAGAAGAAACTAGCTAACAATACAAATTATAATTTAAAGTTGTAGCATTAGTATATATTGTTTACAGCCATAAAAAGTACTACTACTTCTAGCAAAATTATAGGATACTTTGTTTACATTAAAAAAATTTAACTAGAAATGACAGTTAATTGCAGTTAGGGGTTTATAAATAATTTTGCTGTAAAATTTGACTAACATCGTTGTCTTTGTCTCACTAAATTTTAATAATGCTAATCTTAGTGCTTTTCACATTTCAGCTTCCTGTATAAGAATGATGCATACATGCTTTTCGTTATATTTCACTTGCCCATAGTTTTGATGACTTAAATATCAATCTTAAATAACAAGTAATAATGTAAAAAAGTGTTATAAAGGAACAAGCAAAAGATATTTACTTTGTAATGTGCATTAGTTTCATGATTAAAAATCCATCCTGGATATTGCGTATCTTAAAAGAACAATTTTTTTTCTAATACTGCAATGAATGAATGAAAATAATTGTCTAATAAATTTAAATTTGCAAAATTTGTAAAAGAGTCAAATAGGAATGAAAGTAGTTTGAAGAAAAAGAAAAATTTTTAAAAGATACAAGTACTAATTTTACTTTTATCTTGAACTTGCAGTAAAATATAAACGTAAAAGTATAAATGAGCTAACCAACTGTACACAAATTGCAAGTACGTTTGCATTTTTTGCTCATAAGTTGATGATAATTTGGCTGTTGACAAAGTTTTTGAAATAAGAAGCAAAGCATGTAATCATTATCAAAACACCCAGAATGCCTACAAAGACCACAACTTCCGGCACATTCTACTGCTAGAATTGCCTTAAATGTTTCATCCGTTGTACTGCATTGACCTTTCTCTGCAATCATACGACAATTCAAAGCAGAACCTGAAACGAATCACATCTACCATTTTAATTTTATCTTAATACAGTTGAAAAATGAAAGTTTTTTTTCAACGTTATAATATATTCAATCAAAGATTTAATTAGTTAGAATGTAATATGATTAAATATTTCCCTAGAAATATAATAATATTTTGTATTAAAGTTGAAGTAATTAATACCTTTTTTATCAAAGCAAACAAAATTGGGATGCTCACAGCAACTTCGACATTGCTTTCGGCATTCCTCAGCAATTTGCCATCTAGGATCTGTGCAGCGCTTGTTTACTATCGGACTAAAACAATCAGTAAAATTGTAGTAATTTATAATTGAAGAAGTAATAGAAAAATTATGGAAGGAATAGTTCAAGCAAATATATAAATTTATTAAATATTTGATGAAGCATGAATTTACTAACAAAGCTTCTTGAATGGGAAAAGCTTCATGGCAAATATTATCATCTTGCTCATTTGAGCACATTGTAGCCGATAGATAATCTGAGCACGGCGATGTTGCTGACTGATTTGTTGATGCCAAAAATAACAACGTAACAAGTGTGTACAACATTTTATGAAATGAAATATTCAGAACTATTCAAATCATAAATGATAAATTCCCATCATTTCTTTTTGCACTGTCATTATGAGTTCACAAAATGACTTCTGCACATCATGTCATTCAAATATATATAGATATATATAAATATATATATATATTAGAAAAAATATTGCTGGAGCAAAAATGGGGAATAATTCAACAGTATTGCATAAGAATTGAATCTCTGAATGAAGAACGTCTTTATTCCGAATGATTATTCGTTGAACCATAAAAATAATTACACCACTAGGGAATTTCAAATTTAACAAGTTGCAAATTTCAAATCTATTTTTTTCAATTTTTATGTTTGATACTGTTTTTGTTAGCCAAATAATAATGACAGTGATAATTAAAAGAATAATGTCATGCTCACTCAAATTGGCTACCACATTTCTAACAATTTTTATATATTTTTTGATATAAGATTCCACTAGTAATCTGTGCGCCATTCATGCTAAACGAGTGACTATCATGCCAAAGGATATCCAGAGGGTTTTGGGGCATGCTTAAACGGCAACTTACGCCCGCTTTCCTCTGATCTGTCGAGCCAGCTGGATATCGTTCGGCATTATAATCACTCGTTTAGCATGAATGGCGCACAGATTAGTGTCCCACACACAAGCCAACTAGGTAAGCCTCACCAGCTTCTTGCAAGGCAAGTACAGCGGATGATTGGAAACGAAGGTGAGTTTTGAAGTCCTGAACAATTTCGTGGGACCAGTCGTTAGTACAGTAGCGTCCGGATAAGTAGTTCTGTAGACCTTTGATATCGACGAATTTCACGCAAAGCAATTGCAACTGTGCAACGTCTTTACTTTACCAGCCAACTGCTTCCGAATCCCTTTCTCTCCTGTAGATTTACGGGTAGTTTGCTTTGTACACGCCATGCCACTACACTATTCATAACCGTTTCTTTTAATATCTGTATCGTATCAAGGCTACGTGAGATCACACTGTTGCATTCAGCGAATCTGCGTTAAATTTTAATCATGTTAACGTACCAAGTTGTCGTATTATTGGCAAAGAGTTTGCACAGAAAATGAAAGTAAGGGTGATTTCAAGAAATCCAGAAGACTATCAACGAGAAACGAAGAATGATGTTTACAAGGGTAGGAATAATTATGCAATCTCAAATCTCTCTTTTCATCAAATGTACAATAGTCAACAGCTTTTCCAAACTAATAATTTAGATGGCTGCATAGATCCATTTCACTTTATGACCATCGGATATCTAATAAATTTTCAACCTTCCAGTGATTCTATAATGTTATCTAATTTGTAATCATAGCGTCTATATAATTATTCTACTCATGGCTAGTTCGGTTTTTTAGATACTCAAGTTATTTGAATTACACCATTCAAGTATTTTATTGGAAAAGAGCATGAAGTAATGAAAAGACTAATATTTATAGCCCCACGAAACTTCAGTGTTCCAGAAGATCCGTTTCAAGTTCAGGTTGAGTACACTCGAGCTCTGAATGCTGCTAAACTTAACAGGTACTTGCATTTTGATTCTGTCGGTTTCTACTGGAACTTTTTTGTATAGATGTAAAGGCGTAGGAAATCGGTACAGCGGTCTTTAGAAGATTTGAAACGATGTATGCAATTTGATAGAACTGTTAGGTATATTTTGTATAGTACTGAAATAAGAAAATTCTATTCAAGAAAATATCAAGCGTTATGTAAAATCCTTATTAGTAGCTTTTCAGAGTATTTGCAAAACCATTCGTTTCAAGTTTGGATGGTCATAATGATGGTGTGTCTGTACTTTGTAAACATCCTCTTCGGTTTGTTACCCATTTTTTCTGCAGTTTCAAACTATATATATATCAAAAGAACAATGTTTCTATTTTGACTTTTTGGAGTATAAGAAGAACAAAACAGCAAAAGATGGCATGTGAACTCCTATATTTCGTCTGTCATGTAGGTTATCAGTAGTGTTTTCTGGCGGCCAAGATGGACAAGTGAGAATATGGAATTTACCCCATCATAAATGTTTATCAGTGATTCAAGCACATAGTGGACCTGTAAACGGTAATATTAAGTTTGTTCTTAAATTGTATTGTGCAAGGAAATTTAAAAATTTCGTTTTGAAGAATAAATAGTGTTGTGTATGTTTTCACCTGCAGAAAGGTGACATTTAATGTTATTCGTTATTGGCAGTGTTTTAGGAATTTCGTGTGATAATGTTTCTGGAAATACTTTTGTAACGGTAGGGCATGATTCGCAGCTAAAACACTGGCTTTGTCCTGATCCTGTTGAAGGTGACCTCTCAGAACCTGTGCACTCTATACCTTTAAATGGTGTTGCCCATTCAGTTTCGCACGTAGTGAATAGTACTGATTACGTTACTTGCGGTGAAGGCATATATGTTTGGAAGAAACTGAGGTAAGCGAAGTTTTAGTTAATGGCATTTATAAAATTTGATTTTGTACTTCAGATTTTACTCAGTAGTGATATACTTAAATATTCACTTATAATTGCAAGTTTCACAGTTTTATGTTAGCATGTTGAATTTAAGAGAGTCTCCGGTTCGAGTATACAACTTAGGTGTCGATTCAGTCTATACTGTCAAATGCAATCCTGTCGAACGAGACATCATTGTATGCTGTGCAAGTAACCGAACTATTGCATTATTGGATGTAAGGCAAAAATGCCCTCTGAAGAAAGTGAGCTTCTCATACGTAAATAGACTCATTAACCAATAAATTAAGATATGGTACATGGAGTTATCTGCTCAAAAATAGTTCTATATGCTGAGTAGCAGTTTTGCTTTGAATTTAATTTGTTTCCTCATAATTTTGTTTGAGGTAACCATGAAGTTACGACCTAATGCGGTGAGTTGGAATCCAATGGAAGCATTCACATTTACATGTGCTAACGAAGATTACAAGTATACTAATTCCTAAAATATCAGTTCCTTATTAAAAGCAAAGTGTCTTTGAACTATTTTTTTCCCAGTTTTTCAGTCTGTATACGTTTGATATTCGAAACTTGTCTAATCCTCGGCGCGTCTACAAAGGCCATACAAATGCTGTAATGGATGTCGATTATTCTCCTACAGGAACGGAATTTGTTTCGGGAAGTTATGATCGTTCAGTTAGGATATTTCCCGTTGAATCATTCGGAAGCAGGTATGAGTTCATTGAAAATTTATACTTTGTAATGCGGTAACCATTTCCTTACTTTATTTGTGAAAGAACTCAAGGAACTTCTATAGAAAGGCTTCACTAGATAACACATATATCGAAGCTGGTATATGCAATGGTTTTTTTCAACAAATAATTCCGACGTGGGATGAAGTTCAGTTTCAAAGGTTTTATTGGCTAAGTAGAAGTGTTATTGTAAATTAAGATTTATGCTTTAGTTAAGTAGCAAAACACACTTTTTTTTTCAGAGATATATATCATACTAAACGCATGCAACAGGTTCTATCAGTTCTGTGGTCAATGGATAATAAATTCGTTCTCTCTGGCTCTGATGAAATGAATATACGTTTATGGAAAGCAAATGCCAGTGAAAAACTGGGACCAGTAAGTGTTTATCATTAGCAGACTTTATCAAGTTCATTATATTTCACAAAATTTGCCTTTCACGTCGAGCCTTTTACTTCTGCAGTTGGTTCGTAGAATTCGTATCTAATTTTTGAATTTTAGTATGCTATAATATTACTTTGAAAGGTTTCTCATTTTCAGCTTCAGCGTCGTGAACGTGGAGCACTCGATTATAGTGCTCGACTGTTGGAAGTTTATGGTGAGCATCCAGAAATCAAGCGTATCGTCAAACATCGCTTCGTCCCAAAATCGATTTATACGTGTGTATTTTTTAAAACAAACTTCAGATTTTTTTTCTAATGTAGTAATAGCTAATATCGATTTGAGTTCCTTTTAAAAATTTGTATTCCTTTCTCTTTGTGTTCTTGCAGTTTGTGTGAATCATACTGTTAACCTCAATTGTTTAATCCAGGGCTACAAAGGAGCATAGAACAATAAAGTTGTCACAACGGCGTAAAGAGGAGAACAGAAGAAAACATTCGAAGCCTGGTACCGTTCCTCATGTTCCAGAACATTTAAAACACATGGCTTAAGAATCGTCTACCATTATCAATCAATATAATGCTTAGACTGCTCAATAAGTTGATGAAAGCATGGCACATAAATCTGGATTGTTTTCTGGTAATATTTCAATGTATTGTTATGATATTTATGTTTATGTAAATTTATTCCTCTTCCCTTGTGATTTTACTCACGAGAAAATTCATAGCTGCCAGGTTCTTTGTTATTTTTGTAATCGGTAAATTATATGAATTTAGTTTATAGTCCGACAAGCTTAGAAACGCTTCGAAATTAGTGCCTAGGAATTGATTAAATTTGAATGGTAGGTTTTAAGAAAAAGATTGATTTTCAGCATGGGTAGTGTCTGTGCTTTAGTGATCTCGGCTGATATAATCTCGGTAAGGAAAAGATGATTAAGTTTTAATGGGCTCTTGTTATATAACTTTCTCTGCACTTTATTGCATCGAGTAGTTATGCATGCTAAAATTTATGCGGTACATTCGATGGTATTGATGTTATCATCATTTTCTGTTTTCTTATGATCACAAAATTTGTGGGCTAAGTTCGACTTACTAATTCCTTTTGTTTTACGCATATCTGTTTCCTGCCATTCAAACGGTTGCTTTTTATCAATCTAAATGTGTAGATGTAACTAAAAATTTAAAGTATCAACAATTTTCTCTCATGTTCGTTAAAATTTAAAACTATTGTAATCTCGAATTATTGTACCTGCAAACGGTCCATCGTTTGATGAATTAAAGATTGAATAATACGATATCTCGGCCGATCATTGAATCTAAACAAATTCAAATACTCATCTTTACAAGTTTCTCTAGTTTTCGATACAAACAGCTTTATGCAGTTTTAAAGTAGGTTAATAAAGTAGAAAAATTGTGAAGGTGAATAGCTTACGCAGTTTCATCTATCGTACGAAGAATATCATTGAACTCAGCTGGTGTACTCTGTAGTAGCCGGCATCTTCCGGGACCGCGTGCGAATGTCTTCCATTCTCCGACGAGCAAGTACTCTTTTTTGGGGTCGTAACTTGACCATGGTAAGCTACCTACGAAATCGTTTCATCTTAATCAGATTCGCATTAGTTTAAAAGATTGGGAGTGTTTCTGTAGCTTAGAACAGTTTCTCAGGTTGGATCCTTCAAAGTGATTCATTGTAGAATTAGTTCATTATTGTACGATCTTTTTTAAAGCTATAAATAGTTGAGGTCTTTCGCCTCTTGAACATAATCAATTGCTACCGACTCAACTGATAAGCAAAGAAAATTTGCATACAAACCGGCGATCATTTCAACAATCATATAAAACCATGACTCCAGATCATCTTTTCGGCATTGCTCTGAGAAATTGTGTGCATTAATTGGAGCGTAAAAAATTGTACCCATTAAACTTGCTGAATTCCGTCGTTCTACTATCGTACCATTGTCTCGACTACAACAGGCCATTTTTCCTATCATTGTAATAGAGATCACCAGAAACAGTGGTGTATATTGAATGAATGAAATTGTTTCTTATGAAAAAATTGATTACAAAATTGCAATGTGCACGATTCAAATATTCAAGAAAAGACTTTCAATTTGTTTTTCTAAAGCTTGCATAAATTTTCGAGCGAAACCGAAATCAAGCATATAAATTAGTCCATCGTTTTCTTTTCCTATACAAAAATTGTTTGCTTTGATGTCACGGCAAAGCCATCCACAATCATGCAATACTTCTATGCGCTTGAGAGTCTGGGATGCAATCCGTAATGATGTTGAGAGTCGGAACCTGATAATACAGATGTCGATGAGTAATTAAGCACCTTTATTTTGAGTTACTTGTAATTTCTCTAATATAGGAAGCAAAACTATAGGCAACATCAGATTTGTACAATTATTTGATTTCAGTAAAATGATTTCAAATCTGTGTTGCGTTGAAACCAATTCCGTATGAAGTTTCTGATGGATTCAGCGATACACAGATGAATGAAAACATTTTGCTGCTCCCATTTGAGATTGTTCATCTTAAAATCCAGGAAATTTCCGTCCGTTATTAATGAAGTATATGAAGAATTGGTGCTGGCAAATGTTCCCTGGTTTCATAAACTATGGATGAACAAATCAATTTGCGAACTTCTTCCCTGGTGTTGATCGTCGCAAACGTTGCAGATCTGGCCCGACCAGTTCCATAAGTACAAACTTGTAGAGCGGCGTCCTGCCAGCAGCAATTAATCGCGGGAACCCGGTAGTTAACTCTTGTTTATCAATTTGCTTCAGAACTGATGCATCCAGTTTTAAAACCGGCCTAATATCATTTAATTAATTTTTTCTTCAACTCCGTATAGGGGTACTCTTATGTGGTTACCAAAACTTCTGATATTTCTACAACGCTTATTCACCTCAGCTGGAATGAGATATCTCCACACTTTTTGCTGTGTCAAATAGCTGTTCGGATAATTTACACAGCTAGTCATTAAGAATGCAATGCACAAGGACAGTAGATGAAGAGGAATTGCACAATATATTTCAAATGACGAATAAGCGATGACGAAATACATGACACGACCTACTACCTGACCTTTTCGAACCGACTGTTCGCTCTGTTTTTAGAGCATACTGCTGAGAGCCATCACAAACTGTATAAACTTTGCTGAACGGACCACTATAAAGTTCATCCTGGACTTCATACATCTTCCCTCTCAACGTAATCGTTGAGCCAATTTCAAGCAATTTATTCTCTGACTGATTTCCCATCTTACTCACGTCTTTTCATTTAAGGCACGTAGTCAAATGCAGCTATACAGGACGGATAATCAGTACAACAACCATTTATTTCGCATTTTCCTTTATAAACTTGAGAAATATGCAAATCAGGTCTGTTATAGAGTAATGTAAATTATTCTCCACTTTTACGAAACTTTATGGTCCCGCAATTACGCAGCTTATTGTTTCAAATAATAAGTGAAATAATGTCAAATTTTAAATATCTTCCATTGGGAAATGTATCGATGAATTGAGGATTTCAGGCTATAAACGTACAAGGACATCTTACAATATTACTTTAGAACTTGAGATTCTTGCATAGTCTTTGTATTTTTATACGATTAATTTACCTGACAAAATACTGCTACAATTCGCATAACAATCAGGAGCTTTACCAGCAGCTCTGAACAAAAACATAAAGCAAAATTTGCAAAAGATTCCACTAAGTGATGACTGAAATATAGAAAAATATCAAAAGCAGAATTTGCAACAATATCTCACTGAAAAAAATCCGTAACTACTTTCTAAATTTTTGCACCAATGAAATGGAATCTACTGCTTTATATCAGACCATGCTCCAGCTTATATATCGATAAAAATTCATTTAAACTTAGCAAGCTCTTCGGTCACGACCACGTGGTCTTGGTGCACATTTGATTATATTGTCTACACGAAGAATCTAAAACTCGAAATTGTTTTAAGTCACACAACATGAGAGCTTTGTTTTTGATAACTGAATATGAAAGAAAAAATAAAATCGTATAAAAAACCAGAAATCTAACGAATTCTGAAAATACGTAGTTTGGTAAAAACTAAAAACTGCAGAGCATATTGAATACCTTACTTCAGCATAAAATCATACCTGTTCAGCAGCTTCTGCTGCACTTGAAACCATACAAAGCTTTACGCTCAATGATTCAATGAGACCTAGATCAATCACATTCACTGGCAGACCTTTATTAATATCTGAAAAATTAAACAAATAACCATTCCTCATTAACGAATGCTTAGGTCATAAATAATTTACTAGTGTTATAAATATAGGATATATTGTTCGGGCGAAGTAAAAGTAAACTAACCAATTCCCATAGAATGATTGCCATTATTGTGCAAAGCACGCAACTTCGAAATAAGTTCTGCACTATCCAAGCCAGCATTATCACAAATGTAAATTGGTAACTGCGCAAGAGCTCGAGCAAATGCTTCAACAGCAAGGGATTCTTTTCCAGGAACCTGAAGTAATTTTCGTCTCGCATAGAGAGAAAATAATCGTAGCAACACGTCAATTATGTCTCAACCAAAATAGACAGTGATTACAGTATCTAAGTAATACTTTTTGGCTTTCTGTCATCACTGCTGCGCTCATTAAAATTTCAGACGCTCCAGCTCCAGCCACCGTACGTCCTTCTTTGACGTGAGTGACTAGAACTGACAGCGCATCATGAAGAGATCGTTCTGTCTCATCGAGAATTTGTTGCGTCGAACCGCGAACAACAATGCTGCAAGCCTCACCTGCAGAATCAAGAAAGTATGTAATGCAAAGAATTCACTGATTTAATATTCGGTAAAAGATCAATCTTTAAGAAAATTTGAAATTAAATTAGAAAATCGAATTTGAAACACTTCAAAAATTATTCATCACTAAATGATACAAGTCTTTCTTACCAGTAGGAACACCCGAAAATCGAAGTAACCGATCTTCGCCAATCATAATTTCTTCAATAAGATTGCACGAACCAAGTTTAACTAGTTCAGGTGAGTCAAATGTCGACACTATCTCACCACCTATAAGATGGTTGATGAAAGAGCAAAGATAATTATGGAACAAATATTCTTACGATTATAAAACAATTACTGATTTATACCAAGAACAAGAGCAAGTCGTTCAATGCCCTCAAAGTCAGCATGCTCTATAGCCATCACACCTGCATCGGCAAAAAGCTGCTCCGGATAGTTATAAATCAGTTGCCGATTAATAAACACATTGATTTTATGAGCTAAGATTTTATTAACCTGAAAAAACCTGATTGTAAAACTGATCGAGTCTACTTGAGGCATAATGATGCAATGTAATAGAACACATAAAACAAAACCTTGTCTTTCATTTTCTGTTTCTCTGCAACTTCTAATTCCGCGACTTTGGCCACAGAATCCACACGAACTCTAGAACCAAACACTTTGACCTGTAAGTTGGAATAACAAAAGCGCCTCCAAACCGGTCTAATTCATTTTTATAGAGAGAAATGCTTCCTCATTACTATACATGGCAATCACCTTTGCCACCAACCTTATCAGTATCCATTGGAGTGTTAGCAATCAACACCTTGGCGTTCACCACTTTTTTCGGTTGATACATACCTGGTCGTTTCTCGAGCAAAAATCCTAAGAACATAATGAATTATAAAAAAGCGAAATAGCGAACTGATTATGATCAGAGAATGTCACTTTTTCCCCATATTCAATTACGAAGTAGCAGTGATAATGAATATTTCGAGAAGTTCATTATTTACCAAGATAATCGACCTCGAAGAAAAAATTAACTACGAGGGTCTGTTCTTGGAAGAAGATTCCGTGATAATTTGCTTTCCTTGAAGCATCTTATTTGGTAAAACTCGAAGCATTTCTCGAAAATCTTATGATCTAACCTTCGTCCAAGTAACTATCATCCATTGCACCACCCAGTTTTTTGATGATCTGAATTGAATCCAAACAACCGGAGCCTTTCAGACGTAGTACGGAGTCAACAGCTAACTTTGCAAAGTGCTCTTTATGCTGAGCTAAAATCTTAGAACCCAACGATGTTCGAGCTATTTTTAACAAGTCATCGCGTAAATTCTCGGGATCCGAAAGTTTCGCAGAGTCTCGAAGCGCATCTTGAGCTATTTTTAAAGCTTTACGATAACCAGAAATAATTGTTTGTGGATGAATACGAGCAGCGATAAGTCGTTCCGCTTCTTTCAATAATTCAGCAGCAAGAACAGTAACTGATGTTGTTCCATCACCAACTTCTGAATCTTGAGTCATCGCAATTTCTGCAATAGACCAATGTAAACATAAATCGTGCTCAAGCTGAAATTAACAGATAAGTGTGCCGAGACTTTTATATGGTTCAGTGGCTATAATTACAAGAGATTATGAACTACTAACGTGACTATGTCTTGAAATAATACAATATTCTACAAAACTTTACCAACAAGAACTTTAGCAGCTGGATTATCAACACCAATTGATTTCAAAATAGTAGCTCCATCATTAGTTACTTGCACCTGCTGCGAATCTCCTTCACCATTTAATAAAATTTTGTCCTGAAAATTTGAAAATGCATGATGTTCTGTTCTGAAAGATCTAAAATAATGCAGAGAGTGAGATAAGACGAGACTGACCAAATATAATGTTATTAATAAAATCATATGCAAGGACAGAACAAAAGCAAAGCTTTACCATTCCTTTTGGTCCTAATGTTGATTTAACTAAATCACCGATAGCAATCGCACCAACAAACGACGACAAACGTGCTGTCTCACCTCGCTCTTCTTGAGCATTCTCTTTCAGTATTTGAATTGGCAACATTGTGTGGAATGCGTGTAGAGAAAACCTCAAAGTAGCAAACATAAATGAAACAAAAAACATATACGTTATAATGGAGGGGATATTTGTGAATCGAAAAACCGTCTTATCTTCAAGAATATCAAAATAAAGAACAGAATAATCTAAGAAAACAGCTTCAGGCTTCTATTTAACAATTCCCCTAGACTATTTAATTCTTTATCATGATACGCATGAAGAGAGGACGGTTTCTCGATCCACAAATATTCCTTTCATTATAACATTATCGGTACATTCTATGATGAAAAACAGATTGCGAGTAGGTTTTTTATTGCTAAAGTTCATCGAACGGATAATGAAACTGAATAAAACTGATGCAGCCACACCTAATTTTTTCCCGTAATAAGTGTACTGTTATGCGACAGTTACATAGAAATCAGTTTCAATGACTGAGTTTACGTTTCAAGTCAGTAAAATAAGTTTGCTACAAAACTTTTCTCCAGAAGTAGAGAAATATTTTGTTCTCTATGCCAAATAGTCCGTCCCTAGTCACAAGATTAAATACACACCTGAAATATACCCAGATGTTTTATAAGGCAAAATGACAATTTTTCACTTGCCCATTGCCTTTACGTTGCATATTATATACTGGAGCAGTGTGATATAACTAATCTCAATCTTGGACCTTAGCTGTTATATTGCAGTCATATTTTTATTGCTTCATAAACAACCGGACGTTATCGACATAACTTTCTCTTGTTGTGAGTATGGTTTCTGATTTATCGGATCAAGAAAACGTAATTCAATTTTTATTTCAATCACGTACAGTGCTTAGATTACAAGAAAGTTAAGAATATGAAAATTTTAAAATATTCTGGCAAGTACAGATGAATGACAAAGTTCTTGTGAGACAGTTTATAGAGTGAATATCAGCATTTGTGTCTAGTCTTATTTGATTGCTTTTATTTTAAAAATTTTTGCTTTCATATTAAGAAGCATTCTGAATATGAAGTAATCCTGCTTACTTTAATTTTGCAAAATGATAATCAGTTGTAGACTTTTGATGATCAAGAAACACAACTTTCGATCTTAGAGGCTTATGTCACAAACAATACCAAACCTCCAGTAATACGACGTAATCCTAGGTTTGTACATGTGTTTTATTGAGCCATAATAGTTGTCAATCGAGAATGTAAAAAGTAATCATTGCAAAATGTGCTACAAGTTTTCTTCACTAAATTGCTGCTTGTGCCTTCAATAGGTTCATGTATGCTGATTCATAGTTCACTTTAGACCTGGAGTGCATATTTATTGGCGACGACGTTCATTTGAATACGGTTCAAACGATGGCAATGTTGACAGTTCTTTAGCGGCTAGCATCTTACGTTGTTTGAGCAACAACGATGAAACATCTCTGTCTGCAGTTCATCCTACCCAGCTTGAGTCTAATTCGGTTGCCAAATTTTGCAGTTTTTTCTTCCATACTTCATGTAATCCAAAGTCAGGAAATTTATTCAGTTATGCTCATTCACTTCAAGAATTCGTTGTAATCTTTACTCTCACTTTTTGATGTTATTTTTCGTATACAGTGGTTAACATATTGCTTTGTTAACTGTAATTGAGATGTACAGATTGTTCAGAAAAAGCAGTTAATCCATTGAAATATAGACTGAAGACAGCGCTGTGAGATTTTCTGAAGTTCTGTCCACTCTTGATTGCGATGATCCGGCTTCTGTTGCTCAACATTTGTTCTCAATTTTAAGTTCTACTAATGATAACGACCAATTACAGAACGAAGTAAATTGTTTTGTAAATTGAAGTATATTTGCGACTATAAATTCTCTTCTCTGCTCTATCTCATTTTCTTGCTTCAGCTTATCGATTTGTTTGGACTGGATCAGTTCGACTTAGTTAGTAAAATTTTATCGTCGAGACAGGCTTTTTTGGAGGATTGTAGATCCTGCCTAAACTTGTTGCAGTTAGTGTCGCTTGACCAAACACAGGTATGATGCTAATAGTTAATCTCGAAGTAGTTCGAAATCAAATCTTGTAGCTTAATATAGATCATACATCGGTGTGTTTGGTTTTAGGCAAAGAAAAAGAAGGAGCCAGTTTGCGGTCAACAGATCACAGTTCACTCAAGTAGTGATCTCCATGTTCGTAAACTAGCTAAACGTCAGAAGAAACATCTTAATAAGCTGATTGTTAAATTTAATCATCAAATTAATGAAGATGGCAAGTCGGAGTGGGAACGGTTGCAGAATGAGATCGCAAGAAATAGGTACTTTTTGAGGGATTGAAAATGCTTTTATATGATTATGTAGCATGCTTCATAATGAACATAGAATATAAAATATGCAACCATGACTTTATTAATATTGTTATTTTTATTGTCTATAAAACTTCTATAACTTTTTGTTTGCTTTCAGCGATGAAACAGTGTTTACAGAACAATGGGTAGAGACTTCGCCTAGAAGTCAAACACCTCTTCCTGAAGATTATCCATTTGTATACAATGCCTGCCATGAGAATAATTCACATAATTATCCATTTGTATACGATGCCTGCCATGGAAATGATTCACAGATGTTCAATTTTAGTGGAGCTGAAGTTCTTTTTGATTGTTGCAAAATATATTTTACCATTTTTTGAATCATTAGTGCAAGGATTAGATACTTTTATTTGTTGTTAACACTTGTAAAAGCTTTTAATCACATTTCGTTTGTGGCTTGAAAACGTGAGATTTTTAACATAAAACTTTTTTTGAAGTTGTGTTTACCAAACAACTGTTCTCGTCACAATTATGGTGTTTATGAGGAAATTCATGTTCCGGCAGTGACTGCTCCCCAGATTAAAGAAATGAATCAGATGAATATTGACGAGTTTGATGATGTACATTAATTTTTACCCATTAATTGTATTTTAGTCGGTTTTGCTTCTAGACTTAATGAATGATGGTGATGACACGCACTTCTCAAAATATGGTTCATTTTAGTTCGCAAAAAAATGCTTCCATGGTTTTGAAAAACTGAATGTTATTCAGTCTGTGGTATTCAATCAGGCTTACAACTCACAAGAGAACCTTCTGATCTGTGCGCCAACAGGGGCAGGTGAGACTTACTAGTGGCAGATCGATGAATGAAGTAAATACAGAATAAATTATATATTACAGCTTGCGACCTTAAACAAATTTTTTTATCATCATTTGAAATTAATTGAGAATAACATACTCGTTTCGTTGTTTGCTTCTACGCTCAGTTTTTGATGAAATAATTTGAAGAAAGTGAGAAATTTGCAATATATTTTATGTAAGCTATTACTGTTATAACTTTGATGTAATGTAGGCAAGACGAATATTGCACTGCTGTCGATTTTAAATACTCTCCGTAAATATTTGGGAGACAGCAAAGTTTGTAGAAACGATTTCAAGGTATGTTATTTTTATTCTCTATAGTAAGCAGAAATTTTCGCAGATTGTAATTCATTTAGTTGGTTTGCATGTAAATCTCGAAGATTTGGTTCAGATCATTTACATTGCACCAATGAAAGCATTGGCTACGGAAATGACTGCAAATTTCATGAACCGACTAGGAAAACTGAATATACGAGTGCGAGAACTGACTGGTGATATAAAACTCTCAAAAAAAGCAATTGCTGAAACACAGGTATTAATTAAAAATCAGTAAAAATGCTTATCTTAATACCTCTGCAATGTTAAGAATGCTCTTTAATGTGTAGTGTTATGATGTTGAATTCATTGTTAGTATGCGATCATTCGGGAACAAACTTGAGATATTGAAAAGTACTAGATTGTTAGTTTGTTTCTTGATTAGCATCTGAGTTCAATGTAACTCGGATCGCTTTAGTGATGGAAAGTTCGAAATATGGTGACCTGGGCTGTAATAATTCGGAAGGTTATTAAGTTGCTGACACATTTATTGACTTATTTAAATTTTAGTGCTATCGAATATTTTTTCTTTGTTCATCAAATGTAGGTAGTACAATCTCTAAATCATCTTTCATGGTATATAAAGTGATTTTTTAGTTATTTCTTACCAAAAAGAGATATCGATTATCTTAATTTTCTGTCAGATGCTTGTTTTGACTCCTGAAAAATGGGATGTTCTGACACGAAAATCTATGGAAACACCAATAATGAAATTGGTCAAACTACTGATCATCGATGAAGTTCATTTATTACATGATGATCGTGGACCTGTAATTGAAACAATTGTCGCAAGAACTCTTCGACAAGTTTGTGTTTCTTAGCATAAATGTACATCACCACCAAGATATCGAACAGCAATTCAATTCATGAAATGTTCTTTTCTCACGTTTTTCAAAATTTTGGTGAGGTTAGAAGTTAATGATCCTCTAATAATGCAGATCATAATGCTTAAATAGTATGAGTAGGCAGTCAAGTAATTACATTTTACGCGTGATATTTTAGGTTGAAATGAGTCAGGAAGCAATCCGAATTGTTGGTCTTTCTGCAACACTGCCCAATTATGTTGATGTTGCTAGATTTTTGCGCGTGAATCCTTCCAAGGGATTGTTCTTTTTCGATAGTCGTTTTCGACCTGTTCCTCTGTCACAAACGTAATGTTTCAGATGTGCTTTATTCAGCATTTTCTGTGATCTCTCTTACTAGTTATTAGAAGTTCTAAAATAGTGTATTAAAGCAGACATCGTTTTGTTTTTTCTAATTTAGCTTATAAAGATAACGCTTTATAATAATTTTTATTTTAGCAAGTCCTGACTTTAATCATTACATTACTTATTATATTTCAAGACTTTGAGAGTCGATTTTAACAAATTTAAATAAGTTTCTTAAGGGCCACTTCTTTTAAAGTCACATTTTTAATTGTTTTGAAGTTCTAGATTTGTCATTTTCAGTTTTATTGGTGTTCGCAATCCACCACTTGATGAAGCAAATGTAATGCGTGAAATGGATGAAATATGTTATGATAAAGTGCATCAGTTTGTCAAAAATAAGCATCAAGTTTTAGTTTTCGTGACTGCGCGTAATGCTACTTCAAAGTTAGCTCATACTTTTCGAGATCAAGCGTCTAAAAAGGTCATTTCTTATTTGTCTCTGTATAGCTTGTTAAATATGCTCCATTAGGGAATATATTTTTATAAGGATTTAGAATATATCAAGTCGTATGTAGAGACTAATGATTTGCAATACTCTAATTTTCATTTTCAGGGACATTTGAAAGACTTCTTGCCTGCAAATTTGGATTCTCCAAGTTATAAGAGTTCATCTAAATCTGTAATTCTTTTTTTTATTTATTTTTCATCTCTCTTATCGGACAAATATCACAATAGAATAGAAATAGCATGTTAAGGTAAAGTCTTGTCGAAATGGTATGATAATAGAGTTATTCCAACTTGGTTTTGGTATTCATCATGCTGGGGTACCGCGTCGGGAACGTTTGTTGACTGAGAAGTTGTTTGCGAGAGGTCACATTACTGTTCTTTTTTGTACTTCGACTCTCGCATGGGGTGTCAATTTACCTGCTCATGCTGTCGTAATTCGAGTGAGTTTTTCTTCGAATTATATAAATTTTACACCTCAATTCGCAAAGCTATTTATGAATCAAATAAATATTTTGGAGCTGTTAGAAGATGATCCATTTTTGTATTTTTGGGGAATTTTCTTAGTGCTGAGGGCAAGTAGGTCAAGGAAATGTTCTTATGTATGCAACAGCGACTAGTTCCTAAAATTTTTGGGATTCTTCGTTTCACTTTTTTTTTTAGGGTACTGAAATCTTTGACATTCATCGAGGCATTTATTGTGACATGGGCGTTCTCGATGTGCAGCAGATTTTCGGTCGTGCTGGTCGTCCACAGTATGAAACTGCAGGTAAATAATTGAACACGGTGTCTTGTGATTATGAATTCTGATTTGCTGAAAATAATTGAGCATTTGGTTTCACTATTTGTGTAACTTATATTAACATTATAAATTTGCGAGTCATACGAAATGATCTAAATCCATAGTTAGTTTCTGTTGTGGATTGTTACTGATTTTTCTCCTCGTTCACGGCAAAGAGACTGTGAGTTTCTTAAAAACATTGCTTTTTTGTGGAGCAAAGATTCGTTTGACAGTTTTTGAAGCTTGTCATCAATTGTATTAAACGGTATTATTATTTTTCTGTTTCATAGTTTTAATGTAAAGCTTGTACGGTTTTGACTAGCCTCATCAAAATCATTTGTGTTAGATTAATGAATCGTAGGACATGGCATTGTCATTACTTGGAAAAGAAATTTATCAAAATATCTGAACATGCTGCTTCGACAAGCGCCCATTGAAAGTCAGTTCATTTCTCGAATTTGCGACAATTTGAATGCTGAAGTTGCTTTGGGTTTGTATTTTTAGTAGTATTCTAATAATGCATCATTTATTAATTGATAAGTAATCATAAATATCTATGGATATTGACATCAGTTATTTATACCATTAGAAGCGGAAGTCAAATAAGATTATGTCATAGCTGCGTAACTATTTTATATATTGAGTGGTCTACATTTCTTTTTCAAACTGATTTTTAGATTTTGACGATGTGTGAAGTCTCATTTTCATTGTTAGCGTTTGCGAACCAGACCAAAGTAACAAACATATCCAAATCTATCAGCAATCTTTTCATAGATTACTAATAATATTTTGATATGGTGTTGTTTGATAAGGTTTACAAACAGGAAGTCAAATCGGATTTTATAATGTTTCAGGAACTGTGTTGAGCATTTCGGAAGCAGTTGAGTGGCTTAAATACACATATTTTTTCATCCGTGCCAAATTAAATCCTCTTGCATACGGTATTCCTCATAGTCATTTGAGTCGTGATCCTGAATTAAGCGATTTTTTAACTCATGTGGTAACCGAGGCTGCAAAGAAATTGGACATGAATGAAATGATTCGATTTGATGAAATGTAAGTTTTAAAATCATAGTTTAAACTCTCTAAAACAAGGAAGCATTTTGTTCTATTATAGATTGTAGTATTGTGATGCTTGCTTAGTATATGTGCATGCATTTTGGGAATTTTTGTCAAAATTCTCAATATATATGGAATAATTTTTAGCAACGGGTACGTAGTGTCAACAGATCTTGGGCGAATAGCTTCAAATTATTACATTCGATATGAGACAATTGAAATTTTTTTGAATAGTTCGACTGAAGTGAAATTGCAGCCAATTATGACTGATGATATGATATTAATGCTTATTGCTTCAGCAACAGAATTCAGTCAAGTCAAAGTTAGCATAGTTTTCTCTATTTTTTAGTTTGCATACTATCAGAAGTGAGCTAGATTTTTGAATTTGTTGTAAAAAAAAAGTTTGTTGCTTTTTAGTCAGCATTTCATTGTATGTAGTTTATTTAAATAATATCTAAACACCAAACGTTATCATCTAACGAGAAAAAATTTGTATTTTCAAATAACTGTTTAGAACTTTTTTTGAATACAGAATCAATCAGTTTTACTGCGTTTTACTTGAATTTTTCTTAGTTACGTGACGAGGAATTCGCAGAACTTCAAGAACTTGCTAATATTTGTCCCTTACGTTTGAAGAGAGGTGTTCTTTCAACTGTATGCGGAAAAGTGAACTGTTTGATGCAGGTAAATATGCTTTGTGTTGCAAATTAATGGTCTAATGTATCTTCTTCGTTAATAAAAATAATATTCCAGGCTCACATTTCACGAGCGGGGATTCGAACATATTCATTGCTTTCGGAATCGCAGTTTGTTCAGGGAAACTCTGACAGGCTTTGTCGTGCAGTGTTTGAAATAGCATTGAAAAAAGGTTGGGCTCAAGCGGCTAATGGAGCATTAGTCTTGGCAAAGTGTTTAGATAGACAAATATGGGTGTTTCAGACACCGCTGAGGTAAAGCCTGGTTAAAGTTTCATTCATTACTTACTGATTCTAACTTTCTTCGATTTAATTGGTCTCTCATATCTGTTTTTATTTTATCCTGCACCTGATTCAAATATTATGTTTTTTATAATTTGTTTCATCTTTCAAAAGCAGTTTTAAGTTTGTTATTTGCAGACCTTACTTTTGTATTGTCCTTCACTATAAATTTTAGACAACTTGATTTTATTCGTATGGACTGGATCAACAAAATTGAACGAAAAAATCTTAGATATTATCAGTTGTATGAAATGAGTGAAAAAGAGTTAGGTGAGGAATTCTAATTGTATAGCTTTCATTTCAGTTTTTATGATGAATTGCCATTTACTTTTGATTTTGGAAGAATCAGCTCTCGCTTATAGACTATAGTCTATATAATGGATGTATTTAGGTAGCATGTTAAATTGTGACGGACGTACAATATATCAGGCAGTGCGCATGTTGCCGGTATTGCTTGTAGATGCTGCTATTAAGCCAGTTACAAGGTTAGCATCATAGTTGATAGACTTGCATTGTTTTCATTACTATCGTAGTATAAGAACATTTACATGGTTGTGCACTGGAATTTTTGGTTCTGAATATTGCGTCTTAAGTCTTGTTAAATGTTTGCAGTGGATAGTGAAATTACCAGTGTGAAAACTACTTGAAAATCAAAGCAATTCTGAATAGTCAGAATCAGATATTTGAAGTAATCTGTTCACTTTGGCTTGTGCAAAAAATTAATCAGGTTTTTTCAGCACTATCATCCAGGTATCAGTAACTGTAACTCCAGACTTTCAGTGGTATGATAATTTTCATGGTCCTATGAATGGCCTAGTTTTCTGGATTTTTGTGGAAGACATAGATGAAAATTTTATTCTTCATCATGACCAAGTACTACTCAGTAAAAAAAAAGTTCGCAAC